GAGAGTATTTCGTAAAATTATCTCAATTAAATCCTCCTAAATGGAAACCATTGCCATTAAAAAAACAATTTATTCCCCTTGAACAAGATACAGAATGCATATCTCGTCCGCGTGCGTTTAGAAAATAACCTGGTGTACAGTTTGCCTGGAAAAGTGGTTTTTCCAGGCAGTGCCCTCTCATGCCACCACAACAGGCTGCAGAGGTGTTAGGTGTAAAGAATCTGGATGTGGCTACAACCCCTTCTGCAGTTCTCTGAGCAGGTTTTCCCAAATCCAAGCTGCACCCCAATATCCTTACCTCCGTTCTGCAGCAGTCCTGAGCTTGTAGATCCCCAGCGCTAGGCTGCTTGGATTCTCAGCCAGGCCTGTATTTATAGCAGAATGTGAGGCTGTCTCTCCAACAAATATTTGAAGGCAGTATTGTCGTAGTAGACTGGGCAAATAGAGCATTGGTTTGTTTTAGCACCCAGCAACCTGGGAGCACTGAAGAGAGAGACTGAGGGGGGAGGAAGGCCAGGGAGCTGTAATGGACTTCCTGCTAGGGGACTCTGGAGTGTTGTTCCTCTGGTTCCGTCTATTAAACTCGTGGCCACAGGTGCCAGCTGGCCGTGCAGTATGGGACTCGCTATCACTGTCCCTCTGATCTGGGTTTCATATCGAGGATGAGGCCAAATGGGCGGAAAATTAAATTACACGCTATTTTGACTCCTGGAGTAGGTTCCTTTTTAAAAGAACATCAAGCTTATCACAGAGCCACTGCTTGGAAGAGGCCTCTTAGCAATGAACAGGAACAGGAACTCCCTCCTCACATCATTAGATCTTTCCAGCACTTATTGACTAAATGAACATCATAAAAAGGCCCATTTGTAGACAAATAAGAGAAAAGTAGCTTGGGGTTAACAGAGCTAGGCTGAATAAACTACATGACAATGTACACACACCTTGGGTCACATTTCTATTGTTTTCTGCCTTTACTTAATGAAGACAAATTGCAACAGAACTGGTGTTGAGAATGAAGCCGAAAGCACAGAAGAGCTAAGAAAGATTCTCGTCCAATGATATGGAAAATACCTTTAGCCCTTCCAATTAAAAACCCTCAGGCTGTCTAGAGAATGAAGATGAATCTCAGGATATTTTCAGCCCTCAGTTAACCCAGAATCAGGAATGGAACATTGCATAAATGTACACAAAAGTCAGCTTCTTAAAGTCCAAATTACACTTGTGATCTTGCAAGGCTGAACTGACGTCTTAAAGCTTTTACGTTTGTCCAGTAAAATGTGGGACAAAACTGTTTTTGAAGCAATTTGAATGAAGGCACTCATAAGATCAATCTAAATGCAGAAAACGTAAAACAAGCTATATCCTGCCACTGCGCATGAAGCAGTTGTGTAAACAGACCACAGTTAATGCACACTGCTGGTAGAAAGGAGGGAGGAACATCTATCCTACACCCACAGTAGAGCTGCTTCATCCCACAGAGGATCATGGTGAGTTATAGTCCAAGCTGGCAGATACAGCGTGCAGGTGGGACTGCGCTCTGCATGATACACCAGCCCATCGTAACTACACGGATGCTTTTAGGGACACAGGCTGTGACACGAATCCTAACACCCAGTGCTGTGAACTTGTAAGGTATAAATAAACATTTAGACATAAACATTACAGTAAAACAATACAGTACCAAGACAGCTGGTTTGGATCAAGCATGCTAATATCAAATACAAATTAATTTTAAAAGTCAGAAAAGAAAAAAAACAACACTTTAACTATAATTCTTAGTTACACCTTCCCCGTTCTGTGCAATATGGAACATCAGACTCATCAGCCAAAGCCTCTTCCTGTGTCTGTTAGCTGAAAAAAGCTCGGCACTGTCAGATGCTGAGAACTCCTTCATAACAGCATAGTGACACACAATCTGAAAGATATGATCTCATTCAGAAAATTCCTTGCTGTAACGCAATGAGTGGAAACAAAACGGTCACTCAGCTCAGTTAACAAGCATCTCAGGCCTGCCTGTCAAGCACAGGGATGGAGCAACACTTGACAGACACAGGTCAGGGATGATAATGTGCTTTCACACTCTGCTGGCACTGTGGGTCTGGTACTAACATGTCATTCTTCTGGCTACAGAGATTGCTGTGCACTTAATAAGCAATAGCGTATTCTTGTTTAGCTTCACTCCAGTTAACACAACCTATTTAAATATTGAAGTATTTTAAGTAGGTAGAGCATGCATAGGGTGCAAAGGAGCAGGTAATGGATTTATTCCGGGCTGAAAAGAAAAGAAAGGAAACAATGTTTCAGCTGTGGAGCCTTCTTCAGCTGTGAGGTGCACCTTTCTTTTCTTTTCAGCATGGAATAAACCCGTTACCTGTTCCATTAAAGTATTTGTATTATTCTTATAGCAAAGCTCTGTACGACAGCCATCAAATCCATCGTCAGGTCTCTTTTGCTATTGAGGGCCGCCATGGTAAATGGCTTGTGTTTTTCTTCCAAAAACGAGTGTTTTTGATTCTTTGTAGCCATGCAGTAAAGTCAATAACAGAAACCACCGTAAACACATACCATAAAGATCACCTCCTGCTGCCTGATGCTCGCAGGCTGTGAGGACCAAAATACGAGGCCACGCGGTAATGATGGGGTGATTATTAGCCAACCTTGGAATAATAAAGCCTCTAATGACCCCGTGCAGTGCGATGGAGCATATGTCCTAACATATGTTCAACCAAACTGGCTCTTATACCTTGATTATAATAAAAAACAGAGCTCAATATCAGTCCATCTCCCCGTCTTATCACTACATCACATTTGGCTTGATTCCTCGTCCTTTTCAACTCTAAATATCATACGGACCTGGTACAAACACTTCAATATTGATTCGGGCAGATGAAAATCAATAGCTGCAATATGTCAGCACTCAAGTGCAGATACAATAAATTACATGAGCCATTAGACACACAAGCACAGGGGCACACAGGCACACTAGTGGGTAAACTGTTTCTCTGGTGTTTGTCTTGTAGATAGACAGCATGTGAACTGGTTCCAATTAGCCAGTCTGCCCAGGGACACCGCGAGGAGCTGCACTGAGTGATGCACAGGCAAGAAACAAGAATGTGCTCCCCAACCAACGTCTATTCTGCTTCACTCTGATAGAAATGCTTTACAGACTTTCCTAGACTATAAGCCCCCAGATCCCCATCATTCATCGTTTAAAAGTATATTGTTTTTTTTTGTTAAAAAGCAAGCTGTAAACCCACGACACCCTCAAAGACAAACAGAGTGAAAATGAACAGACGGATGAATAGTTTCTCATGGTTTTGAACTCTCGGGGTTCTTTTTTTCCCATAGGGGTCATCGTCCCTTTCCAATGCAAGGTCATCGTGAGGAGAGAAGGGGACAAGCTGTAAAATAAACGTGCTCATCTCCTGTCTGACTGCCATGTTGCTTGTTCGACTAATGTTGATATGGCAGCCTATATGAAGACACAAGAATTAACATGTATTCAATGCTAATATATGTGTATGTGTTTTGTGAGAAATTGCTGATGCTCAAACAGATTTTTATGTAATGGTTTACTTAACTAAATATTTAGCCAGAGGCTGTGCCACTGAACAAATAGGAGGAGATAATAAATCCCAGATTGTGGGTGGAATGACACAGACAGGAGAAGTATCACTATAACATTTACAACCTCTATAACACATTCAATGTTTATATCAACATGCAAACCTGTACCAGTCTGTGTTCACATCGTCTGCCCTGTAATGGATCCTAAAACAAACTGCAACAGAACGCACTCCTGGGCAGCACAGACTGGAACCGAAGCTCCACTGGAGAACTCCAAGTCCAGCATGTTGGTTTAGAAATACTGTCTCAAGCATTCAAGCTTTAGCTGTGCAAAACATCTCAACATATCAAGGTAATGTGTAAAAGCTAAAGTGTGTGACTGTGGAACACAGTTCTGAATAACTCTTCCACGTTGATCTCCTATAACGCACCACAGAGTGTATTCAGACAGAGGTAAAGAGAAAGGTTTAGATCAAGGAAAGGTGCCATCGCAAATTCATGCCCTGTAGGGGCTGGGCATCAGCAGTCTGTGTGCCACTTCTGCCGTCAATCATCCAGAATCTGTGTGAGGAATCTGGGTGATCCAGGTAGGCTGTTTCTGGGGGGGGGGTTTGGACTCGTGTCCAGTGACCTCTCTCTGTCAAGAGTGGGTTTGGTATGGACCACTAACTGCTCCATATCTACCTGTATGTAGACACTTCATATGTTTAGAATAGAGATAGATGGTGGAGCAGTAGAAGACACTCTGAATTCCCAGTCCAGTGCCCCAGTACAGTGACAGAGGACACTGTGCTGTAAGAATTGCTGTCCTTCAGGTGAGACGTTAAATGGGGCCCTGACTGCCTGGTAATTAAAGAACTGGTAACACAGTGTAGCAGAAGTCCTGAAGTCCTCTTTGGCTTCTGAAGTTCCGGGTTAATTCAGCTGGTGAGGCACTGTCTCCCTTCTGTACCATGCGGCTGTGTTGGGGGGGATTCTGGTGCAGAATGGCTGCCACATGTCACCCAGGTGTACTCCCTCATATGAAGTGGTTGGGGTCCCGATATACAAATATCAGCCATTTTTAATTATTACGCACCACTTAGTCACTGGAATGCTGAGTGACTGAGCGGTGCAGTTGACACTCTTTTCTGATCACTCATTTCAGCTTCTGCATTAGACGTTTTTTTAAATAATATACACACTATACAGAGGAGCAGGAAACGTCATTTACTGTAATAGCGCAATTCTAAAATACCAGTGATTGCAGCTAGCTCGTAAAGATGTATTAAGTAACCATCCATCTCTGTGCAAATGCGGGCAACACGTACACCTGCCCGGATGCTATTGCTCCACTCCGCAGCGCTCATGTCATGCGCTGACGCAAGAGGCAGGCGGCTGCGCTCTGGCCAATCACAGCTCAGGCACTCGTTTACGTGTAACGTCACCTCTCCAGCGTGCCCGAAACCAGGAAGTAGCTATAGTAAACAAAACCAAGGAGCTGGAGCAAGAACAAACCATTGCGAAAATAAAGCTGGTGACAACGAAAATGAAGTAAATGACAATGTCCTTACTGAAGCCTTAACCCTAAATGCAAAATGGACGCATCGGTCGTTCCGTGTCTTCTCCTTGCTGGTTTCATAACCAGCACTTTAGCAAATGGTGAGGATTTGCATCGGTAACTTAAGCTGTATTTTTATAATTTATGAGTGAGATTGCAGCAACACTCGATTATGTTGTACCGTTTAGGACTGATGTGTGGTGATTTAATTTAAATTAACTATTTTAGCCGTTATGTGGTATCTGTATACCAACTGTTCCTGTTGTGTCGGTGCTTACAAAACTTGTGTCCTTACAGGAGCTTAGTCACTCCGACTTGTTTCAGTTAGTTTTGATAACTTTCGGAACTTGATCAACCAATGTGTTCTTAACTTGCATCTAACGATATTTCAGTAGCACCCACAACGCTCTCTTTAGTATAAAATAACCTAAAGGCTTCTGTAGACATTTCCAATCCATAGATACCATAGGGAATTTTCTTAAGGGGCTAGACAGACTGGAGTTCAAAACTAGTAGATACAACTAGAATAAAAAAAAATTAGCTTCATTCCCTGAAGCATGAAAAATAATGAAGGAACAAGTAAAGGTTTATTTAATGCTGAAACGTTTTGGCTGTGAAGCCTTCTTGAAGTCAAGAGAGGTGTGAAGTCAAAACCAGCAAATGAATAGAGAGGGTTAGAAGGAAATTAGTCTGTCATTGAGAGAAGGGAAGGTGTGATCCTAGGTTCAGGATGGTTTTGGTTTCAGATGTCCTTCTGCAATAGGAGTTTCGAAACCCCTCTGTGAGGGCGTATATGGAGAGATCAGAAGGATTGTGGCCGTTAGAGATGAAACGGATAACTATGGGTTTGGAGCGATCTTTGATCCTCACAGCCCTGACATGTTCCCTGAAATGGTCTCCCGGTCTCCTTCCTGTCTCGCCAATATAAATAGCTGGGCATATTCTGCCTACTTGAACATGTGAAATAATGTCAGTTTTGAAGCGGCCTCTCTCTCTTTTTGTCCTGTCACACTCCAGAGCTGACCTACGTGTCCGAGTACCTGTCCAAGACGCCTCAGAAGCTGTCCAAGTACAGCTGGTTCGGCAGCGCTCGGCTACACCAGTTCCAAGTGCCAGAGGACACGGTGCTGGCGCGCTGGTTACTGATCGTGACCAAGGGGACAGGTTCTAACTGCGGGAAACATAACGTAACCATGTAGGCACACGCCTTTCTATGACTGTATTATTCATTGATTCTTTCAGTATGTTATCTAGACAGCGACGCCATTAGAAAGAGTCTTTATCGAGGTGTTGGTGTTATTTATTTTGGTTTCTACAGACACTTCAGGGCAGGTGCCCCTCCAGTAATCAATCCTGTCGGGACTCAGTTTGCGAAGAACACAGCCTTCCTTCCGGCTCAGAACCTGACCCTGGTGGTCAGCAGTGGCCAAAGCATTGCCTTCTTCAACATCACCAACCCTGCCCCCGGAGACTGGTTTATAGCGGCCCACCTTCCAAAAGATGATGGCAAAATCGAACAAAAGGTGTGTCTGCTTTTGCCTGCTGCTGGGTGCGCCAAACCACAGTATCTTTCATTTAAACAATTCATATGTACACGCTACCTTCTTGAGCACATAAGTCTGTGAACAAAGCCTGTTCCAGAGTCACGCACCCGTTGTGCTCTGTATATTTGTAAGTGATTTTACAAGCTTCCGTACAAATGCGTATCAAGTGAGGAGCCACAGATAGCAAACATAATGCCTCTCGTTATTTATTTTTTTTCCCCCCAAAACACACGGTGCTACATCGCGTTTTTTCCATTTTTCTCTGCCAGGGGTTTTCTCCTACATGCACATACTTTTTCCAGCCACAGATGTTTGTGAGGAGAGCGGTGGATTTGCCGGTCCTGGAACGAAATGTTCCACTCAGACTGTCCCTGTCCTATCCTGACAAGACAGCTTTTATGAAGTAAGTTTGAAAACAAGCGACGTGTCTTTCCTCGCCTCTTTCCAACATTTCGAAGCTTGCATTAGAGTTGTATACCAGTAATATGTTGGCGTTGAAGCAAGAGTGGCCGAAATTACTTTGCTCGTTATTTCTGTTTCCTTCAGGATTTTTGTGCCAGATTATACGTCCGAGGTAACATTCCATATCTCCGGCTGTGTCACAGAAAACATTACGGATAAGGTCTGCCCTTTAGTGCTCACCCTGGGTGCGGTAGCTCTGACTGACTCCACAGTGAGAACAGTGAACTGCTCTGGGAACGTCACCTGCACAGCTCAGCTGCCCATACCGCCCTGGGGAACTTGGGTACGAGTCTCAGCAGACAGCATCTACCCTAACCTGACTACAGCTTTCACAATCACAGCTAACCTCACGGGTAAGGCCTGACTCCTTTTTCAGATTTCCCTGGACTGCTCGCGAAAATGTAGCTGTGGAGAGGGTTCTTCACACACACGCAATCCGTTTAGCAATATTTGAATGGGCTTACTTTAATCTGTTTACAAAGCATTTTCACGTTCTTCTTTATATGTGCCTTTGTAATGCGATTCAACTTAAAATGAGCCAAACAATGAACTACAGACAAGTAGTTAATATTCTGTTTAGACTCTTCTGAGTGGAGAACTACTTCGAATCAATGAATATGCATATTTTTTATAGTTATTGATCGGTGGAAAAAATGTTTTTTTTTTTATTTTAACACAGGAGGGTGCAAGCCGAAAAGTACTGGGCAGTTAAAGGACCTCTTTGCCCAGCTAAGTTCTAACAACTCCAGTCCGTCTCTGAACGCCTCAGCTGGGTTCGGGAATATCACTGCACTGGGGGAGAGCTGGCTGCCTAGCGGAAACGGCTCGGCACGGAGGGATCCCTTCGGGAGCGCCTGTGTGCGCTACGAGCCCGTGTTCAGAGAAGACATGGATGTGGTCTCCACACGCTTCGCCCTCGTTGGCGGGCCGAACGTCACGCTGACCTCTCGGGCCCCCACGCTGGTCTCGTTCAACCTCAAGTCCCTGACGGACAGCGGGGGGACCCTCGTTCTGGACCTGAAGCTCAACAAGGTGAGACACACAGGGATCCCCACCCCGGGCTGTGTGTTGTCCTCTGGTTGTTGGAAGCCAGCATCTTATAAAGAAACGAGGAAACGAGTTTTCTTTCTTCTCTTTTCAGCATGGCATAAACCTATTTCTTGTCCTACGCGGGCTGACGCAGCTCTCCACCTGAACTATCTTATAAAGAAAACGTATTTCCATTATAACTACTGAAATTTATTTTTGTCCAGCTGAGGCATAAATGGCCACCATTGTGAATTTCACCATTGTGTCGTTTTAAACCATTTCAAACTATTCTTTAAAACATGGTAAGGATTTTTTCCAAGCGGAAAGTTTTATAAAAAAAAAAATGTCAGTAATCCTGTTCTTCATGTGTATTTATGGGATGTTTTCCATCTTTTTCCACTCATGCTGAAATGCAGGAGATATCTTAGAGTAGTGGTGTATTGCCATATTAATTTCAGGTTCCTCAAGCTTGAGTTCCCACCACTGAATGAAAATGACAGCACCAGATTCTTTAAACACTAATCATAGTTAAAAGGCCAAGTTCCTTATTCTCTGAGAAGAAGTTTTGGCAAGCGTCTAACATGTGCAGGGGGAACTGTGAAGAATCCAAAGTGGTTTCCGTGGCTTTTATTTTTTTATAATACATTTGTTTTTTTATCATTCCTAATATCATTTTCTCAACATATGTGCAGTCTTAAAATTTACAGTATACTTAATAAATTATTATAATTTGTACGCATATTATAACACATTTGTTTTAATACTGGGTTTTCTATTCACTTCCTTGTCTTAGGCAAACTTAACCAACAGGAATTCCAGTGTGGTGGCCTGCCTGACTACCAGATCTCCTGTACTGTCACTGAACAGCACACAAACCTGCACAACAGGTATAGCAATTGATGCTGGTTGGAAGTGGGATTCAAGATACCATCCAGCTGAGTCGTATTTTGCAGTAAACCGAAAGAGACGTGTTGGCTTGCAACATTAACCCATTAACAGTCATTAACAGTTACAGGATTTACAATGGTTTTCAACCTTTTTAAAGTTGTAATTGTTTTTGATTCATTATTTGAAGCCATGGAGCATTCTTAATGTTTCTTAGAATATTAGTTATAATGAGTTATAATGATCCGTAGAATTCTAGAATGAAATTTAGGCCTAAATTCCTACAGTATACACCTCTGTGTTTTATTTAAAAAGGGCAAAGCAATAGTATTATTGGACTCTGTAAACCTTTACTACCATTATGTTTTTGAAATTAGACTTTTATGGTTTAGGATTTGAGTTTGTTTTCTTTCTCACCTTTATCCAGGGGTCAATCTCCCTTTATACTGCAGTTAATAGTCATTAATTTAGAGAAGGCTAGATTACCATCTCAGTTTAGAATTGTTTCTATGAACTGTGATGAGTGTCAATGCTGTGATCAGTGCAAATATACTATAAGGCAGTTTTATCGAGAAAAGAGTACTTATTGCTATGTCTCTTCTTTAGCTAGACTCAAAAGAGATGAAAACACATTAAAAAGAAAGTACATTTGTGGGTGTTTCAGCTCGGGCAACATCAGGAATGAAATGGGATAGTGCCATCACTCTGTCATTGAATTACAAAGAAGGAAATTCCCAATTATACACTCACTCAGGATATGGAACAAAAAGCATTTTTCCTCATTTAATAATGAGCCATCATTTGTGGATTTATATAGAGAAAGACAACTAAATACATTGAAAAGGACAAGACGCGATCAGAAGTAGAAAAGCCAACATTTCCTGTCTGAATGATCGTCTTGCCATGTGAAAAACTGGTCTCCAGCTGTTGTGCCTGGTTCTCCTGCAGCCTTCTCTCAGGGTCATCTCCTCAGGATGAATGTCACAGCCCCTGAAGCCACACTTCAGATTCCCTTCCCCGAAGCTGCATGGTGGTACCTCACCCTACAGATTGTGTGCCCTCAAAATGACAGGTGAGGCCCCCGAAAATAGTCGCCCGTGCTAAAAGTCAGAGCTGCAGTCTGCTTGTGAAAGTCTGCAGGGAGACACTGAAGGAACAGGTTCGGGGGTCAGAAGCAGCTGTACAGCACAGTGAAGTGTGACCTTCAGGTGGGGCCTGTTCAGGAGTATCGTTAAAGCCATGTCACCTTACAGTTTAACAACAATCTTTATGAAAGGGACTGAGTGCACTCTAAAAGTGAAGCCCTTTCAGTTCCCCTGGGTGGGTAGCTGCAGCAGCATGTCTAGGCTACAAAGGAAAATGCTGAAAAGAGAAGAACGTTTTGGCGGTGGAGCCTTCTTCGGGTGTGAATTTCAATTCCTCTTCCTGTTGCCTTTTGTTTCTCATCAAGTGACTGTGGAGCAGCGTGGGGCACAGTGATCACATCCATGTACCTGAGTGCCTGCGTCGATGACTGTGGGACCTATGGAGAGTGCAGGTTGCTCCGTTCCAATGGCTACCTGTATGCCGCGTGCGTCTGTAAAGCCGGTGGGTCTCACTTCGGTTGGCGTGGGTTTGTGTGTGAGGGGTTTTCCGGGGTCTGACGCGCTCTGTTGGTTCCAGGCTGGGCAGGCTGGAGCTGCACGGACGACGGAACAGCGCAGTCCTACGGGCGCCAGCTGGCTGCAGCCCTGCTGCTGACTCTCAGCAACCTGCTGTTCATCCCGCCCATCGTGCTGGCGCTGTACCGCTGCTACCTCGTGGAGGCGTCCGTCTACCTCTTCACGATGTTCTTCTCAACGGTGTGTCTCGAAAGCGCTGCACGTAGACAAATACGCAGCTTTGCCTGGAACAAATGGCCCGATTCAAAAACCAGTCGTTCCTGGTATACATTGCTGAGTTACTCTCTCTTTATCTTGACTGCATGCTTGTTTTTTTTTTTGCATCTTGTCTGTCCCAGTTTTACCATGCGTGTGACCAGCCTGGCGTCACTGTGCTGTGCATCATGGACTACGACACGCTCCAGTACTGTGACTTTCTGGGCTCAGTGTGCTCCATCTGGGTGACCATCCTCTGCATGGCACGGATCAAGGACACCTTTAAATACGTGAGTGCTGTTCCCCTTCCTCAAGGCCTGTTGACAGACAGATCTAGAGCGCACTCCAGAAAACATATGTTAAGATGGAGATGTTGGGTCACAGGTGTAATGTCTGTTATTGATCACTTTGCAGTGTTCTAATTAACATCTGTTCTTGATTCAACACGTTTTCTCGTCTTGTTCACTTAGACGCTGTTTATGCTGGGAACTCTGATCATTGCAATGTCGATGCAGCTGGATCGCAGAGGGCTCTGGAATTTGCTGGGTCCAGTCCTGTGTGCTGTCCTTGCCATGGTGGCTGCTTGGGTAAGAGACAACGACTTAATCTTTCTATTTTTTTTATCTTTAAGCTCTGTTTACGTACATATCTAGTTTTAAACATGTCATACTTGAGTCCTCGTTCCTTGCTGCCCTTTCAAAATGTATTTATGTATAAATGTATTTATGGCAAATAAACTATTCCTGAAAAAATAACTACTGAACAGGCTTCCCAGAGGTGAAAAACAGGAAGTTCAAGAAGGTGTTTTGTCATTGTTAGGTTTCCGGAATCAGGTTTTGAGAAATTAGAAATTAGAATCTGCTTTTAGGCGTAATTGCTTCAGATTTGAGTGGCGAAACGACGTCTCTCCTTGGGCATGTCAGCGAAGGTGCAACAGATCTTGAACGAGGCAGTAGGAAATTGTATCTTCCTCTTCCAGTGGGTCTCTGCAATTTACTGCAACAGTTGCTTAAAACAGTTGCTAAAAGCCCTACCTCATTTTTTCCAGCATGAAGGTAACAATTTCTGAAATGATGGTACAGGATTTAAATATTATTTTCTTGGTTCTCTCCAGACATTACCATAAATTACCGCTGGGGGGGGGTTAAATACTTTGTGCCTGCCAAGTCTTGCCTGTGTATTAGCAGCATGTCAACTGTGTTTCCATTAAGCATAACTGATTGATCTCTTTGCAGATTTATCGCGGGGTTAGGAGGCGCCAGTGTTATCCTAAGACATGGAAGCGCTGGGTGTTCTACCTGCTGCCAGGCATAGCGACTGCAGTCATTGGCCTTTGCGTGTATGTGTTTACCGAGACTGATGACAACTACTACTACACTCACAGCATCTGGCACATAATGGTGGCGAGCAGCGTGGTCTTCCTGCTGCCTCCCCGCGAAAAGTACAACCCCCCATGGGGATGGTCCCGCAGTTTTTTCTGTGGTTACCAGCTCTGCAGGAACGAGAAAGATGAGCTTTATACCGTCACTTAAGATGCAGAAGGTGCAGTGTCCCTGTTCTTGCATTGCCCTGCATGCAGTGCGGATTTACAGAAGGATTGTAGGCGACGCTGTTTACTGGACAGTCCACTCTGTAGGTGACACTCCATGTAGGAGGAATAAATATGAGTGCTCTGAGTGCAGCTGCTTTTAAAGAACAGGTGCAGACCGTAAAAAGTGAATTCAGTAGAGTTTATACACTGTTCATGATTGTGTTCACACTAACTTAACACTGCTGTGCGAAAACGTGCACATTGTGGTACCACGATAAAGATAAAGGTCTGTTGTGACAATCTCAAGATTTTTGTTTCCCGTTGTTCTATGCAATGGTCAGTTTTCACTACTGTATGTGCAATAGATTTTTATGCCAAAAAAAAACAAACACTGGTTAATCGATAACTTCCAGCTGACCGTTTTATGTTGAGTGTTTTTTTTTTAAAAAAAACGTCATATTCTTGACACTAACACTGGTTTTGTTATGGATTAGTTGGCGGTTGGAAAATGAACACTGCATCTCTGTATCTGAGCATCAATAGGATGTGTGTATTTTTTCTAGTGTTAGAATGAAAAAGTGTAAAGTCTTTTGAAATTTAAAGATTTAAAATTCTTTGCCTTTTTTATGAAAAAAAATCACACTTGAATACTGTATCTTCTGCACTTTTAAAACCCAGTTTTATTGATTATATAGTAATACTGCTATGATTTATATGCACAGGTCATATATTTTATTATCTCCTGATTGAATTTAGATAAAAATCTCAGTGGCAGCCTAGGTCTTAAGTGTCTGGTGAACTCTGTAAGCTGCATTACTGTCTCAGTTGTTTTGAGATTGCCATGTTTTTTTTTTAGACGAGAATATGAATGACAAAATTGTTCCTCTGTTAGATCTAAATTATTCATGGACTGTGATTTATTTTTTAGAAAAGATTTGATCATAGATCATTAATATTACACTCCCAAGCAAGTGCTGGTTAAAACCGGTATTTCACAAGGTTTTCCAAATTCGAATCATTGCATGTGCTTTCTGAGTTAATTAAAATATTTACTTTTTTTCTGCATTACCGTTGCTTTTCAGGTGTTGTGAGTTTAGTGTTTTTTTTTGTTTAAATACTCAGTGTAATTAAACAAAATGGTGATTAGAAATTGGTGTTCAGTTAATGTTTCACAGTTTTAGGCTATATTCCCAATGGTGAATAACAGTTCTGATGTACAGCTTTTGTTTAAGCAATTTACATTCCTTTTTCATTCATTTATCACAATTTTGATTTCAAATATCTCAGCTGTTATTTTTAATATGAATGTCATAAACTCGTTGAACCTGTACCTATTTTCCAGCACTGGTTTATTCACATATTTGTTATGGTTACAGTTTTACATTAGCACACACAGTGAAAGTATTTGTCTTTTGTTTCTTGTTCTGTTTTGCATTATAAGCTTCTGTTCTCTTTACCTGTTATACGGGCATCATGTGTGGGATTTATATAGAATATTGTTTACACGTGTAGTTAAGGAGCTTTGCAGGATTGAAGGCAGGAATTTGCTAAATAAAACTTCTAAAAAAGATGTGTTAATGTAGGATAAGGGAAGGTTTTTTTCAACCAAGTGTAATATCATTTGAATGGTGACAGACAAGAAGAGGCCATTTGGCCTGGAAAGTTCGATTGTTCTGCTACTATGTAAATCAAAAAATCAAAACCAAACAGAAATGTGGTGTACCATGAATGCCTTCAATAAGATAGACAAAGTATATTTAACAATAATATATTTTTGCGTTTAATGTTCCGTAAGGCTGGCCAGTGAAGTTGTTAAATGAATATGATCTTTTCAAGTTGAGTCATAGTTATTATTGATTACCTGCTAATATTTTAAATTTTAGTTATGTTTGTTCTATCTAAGGGAAATGTGTTTATGTTTTCATTCAGGAGAGTATTTTTGCTAGAACAAAGTAGACTAGACAACTTTCAAAACCTCATTTTGGAACAAGCAATAAACCTGTGGTCTTTGGTTTTTCTAAAGCTGCTGTGTTGCATGACATTGTTAGACGCTTGAACCTCACCGAAGTATTCTTGTATTTGATTATTTGTACCAGTTTAGATTAAAACCAGGTAACTTGATTTCTTTTTTTTTTAATGTAGAATTTTGCAACACCAGTCATTTGAATACAGCGCTTTTGTTTGGAGATCTGTTTCTTTTATTTAGGGAAGTCAGATATAATAGGATGCACTTTCTATGTACTGTACAGAAAACAACCCAGTACATGCTTGTAGCCATTTGCTCTGAACAAATGCACTCCTTTGTGGGACTTTCACATATCATATATTAAAGAGTAAGTTTAGTATTTAATTATAGTTATAGCTAGCCTGCTTTTACCTTAATACAGAAGAACAAAATGACAGAGGTCCATTAAAGTACTTTTTTAAAACCCTGCAGACTTCTATAGAGTTGTAGAAACATGTATTCAGTCTTTTTCCACATGTAATTAATTCCCTGGAACGCCCCGCAGAGATGAATGGGCACTCAGTAAACATAGAAGAGTTGTCACTGTAGGAGTGGCAGGTGCTAATACTTCCTCTGTAGCTGCAGTGACCTGTGTGTGAAAAGTTTGGAAAGACATCAACTTGCTCCTTGCGAGAGGTTAAGTCCATTTGAAACATTTGGATCCCTTGACATTTCTTTTAGCTTCTGGAAGTTTCTTTATGGTGTAATTTTATCGTATTTTAATCCCCAATTTGTTCTGCGGTTAATCATACTGCATTCTGCTTTTGTACCTTAATTTTTTTAATTGATCTCTGCTGGTCATGGAGTGAGGTACTGTATGAAAGCATTTTGCTGAAACCCCTCCTCTCTTTTCAGTGCTGAAAACCTATTATAGCCAATCCTTTTCAGAGGCTACTTTAATAAGTTTCTCAAATTTTAAAAGTTGAATTTTAGGAACTTGCAATTGTAGAGAGACTGTGGGCTGAGAAAAAATAATTTTATACTGTACAAATATATCCATATCATAAATGTGAGTTAGAGGCACTGAAATGACAGGAGGGCAGGCAGTCATGTCTGCTCTTCTACACAGCGCAGGCTTACTGGGTACAATATGTCAGTACTACTGAATATACCAGCTGATGTATTTATAAATGCCCCATTATTTTTGAACATGTGTTGAAAAACTATATTAAAAATGTGCTCATGCTCGAAATTAAAAAATGGATTAACAATAAAATATTACTTTTCAGAATGTCTTCTTTTGTCTATTTTTGATAAAACGTTGGAACTTTGGGGTGGGGTGGAATAGTATTTGAATATGATGTGTTGCTAGTTTGAAGTCCATTGACATACTGCACACATAAAGTACAACACTGCACTGCATGCTATAGGACCTTTTCTTACACTAGATTCCTGTTTGTGACCAGGATTAAAAGGTGGATTCAAACACCACAAGCTCAGGGATAACACCCGGTGTCAGAGGGTAGTAATCGTGGTCGATTTTTACTAATGAATTAATGAATCGGCAATGGGTTTTCACTTAACGACCCTCCTCACAGTTATTTGTCGGGGAAAAAAACTCTTCAGGTCCTTCAGCAGCCGTGAGCTGGCATGAGTCTGTTTTAAATGTCACAGGAAACAAACTAATTTGTAGTTAAACAATGTTGTTTCCTGGCCTCGGTTTAAAAGTCTGAAACTGAAATAATGTAGACATTTCTTTTTCGCCTTGTTAAATCATTTGGAATGACCTTTGTGCTCTGTTGTTTTCCACTGTTCTACAAATAATTTAATAACACGTTCTTCTGTTTTTATTTAATTGGTGCTGTGGTAACTAAGCACTTTGACTTTTAACTTCATTGCTGCAGTTTCTCTCGCCAACTGTAAGTAAGTGTCACTGTAAAACTCGGGATAAAAAATATAGCTGTGGACATATATATTGGTTAGGCTTGGCAAGGGAAATGGGTTCTGAAAAGAAGATAGGTTTTGATTAAATCGGACTCTTGGAGCACAGTGTGACAGTTTTTCAAATGGAAAATTAGTTTCACATATTTTGTTTTTAAAGAATGACGTTTTTTTTTTGCCTGGAAACGTTGCGTGTGTTTGGCACTACCAGGAATGAGGCGACCCAACTGCCTCTCACCACCCTCTGGCCTCCGGTTCGCGGGTCAGCAACCCCAGGCACGAGGAGAGCGGTGCCGCTCCACAGCGCCTCCGCTTGTCTGCTGCAGGACAAGTCTCGTGCCCCCGGGCCCGTTAGTGCGGAGTGCTCCCGGTGGGACCAGTGTTCCGGCTAGGACAAGCGCCGGAGCCCGCATGTATGGGGGTAAACTGAATATGATAGTAGTTCAGGTGGGGAGCTGCGTCAGCATGCGTAGGCTGCAAAGGAACCAGTAATAGGTTTATTTCATGCTGAAAAGAGAAGAAAGAAAACATGTTTCGGCCGTGGAGTCTTCTTCAGGTTCTTCTTCAGGCTCCACGGCTGAAACGTTGTGTTTTCTTTCTTCTCTTTTCAGTTAAACCTATTACTTGTTCCTTTGCAACTGAATATGATGTTGTTTTAAGCCATCGCTAATCAAAATGAGATCTTCAAAGGCAAGAATTGCCGGTCTTTTAATTCACACGATCCTAAGATCCTAAGAAAGGCCATCGATGACCATAACAATGGTGATCCGTTGAAACGGAGAGAAGGTGTTCACCCAGGTCCGGGTGATTCATTAAAAAGAATCAGCACTTCCTGTTCGGAAACATACACAGAATAGAGCATAGTTGAGGATTGTCTCTATCGAGAAGTTTAATCCAGTCAAAAACCAGCCAGCTAGTGTTGATTGCTTATGCCCTGTTTCCTGTTTGCAGCAGTCAGTGATTCTGCTTTCTTTTACTAATGGGGTCAAGACCTTGTCAAGCCTATTTTCGCAAAGTAAAGCCACTTTGCAGTCAAAGACAGCTGCTAATTCTATTGAGCTGTAATATTATAATCTTGATTCTTTGGAGTTCTTGTCAGTTTTGCATGACAGCCAGTGTACACTGCTAGCACTTTAAGCCTGTCTGCTTAATAGATTTTACTGAGGCATCTGCTGTCAGCTGTCCCCACTTCTTGGCATGTGGCATCAATGTAGAGAGATTCCTGGACCTGTTGCATTCCTCTCAGTAAAAAATGAATGCGTTTATTTTCTTTTTGGAAGTTACGAAGTGGAATGTACGAAAGGTAACTGAGAAAGACACTTCTGCTCAAGAAAGCGTGATAAATTTGACCAAATTTACCAAATGTTAAATGTTGGTGAAGACACATTCACTGTGGTATTTCCTGACGCAAAATACCCATCTTGAGACCTGCAGTGGATTTATACTGTACTTGTGGGACATTCCATTGCGTAGGCAACATAATTGACTCTGGCAAGGGACTCCATTGCAAACAAGATCTCGCTCAAATCGTACTGCTTTCACATGTGATCTGAATTGGATTGGAAAGCAGGGATTCAGGAAAGCTTAAGCATTGACTTGCGTAAGACATCGAGATTCCAGAAATCCCCTGTAATTCATTGTCATTGGCTCCTTTCAGCTTTCTAGGCTGGCTTTCTGGTCAGCCCTCAGGATTTTAGATGGAGGCTAATCCACCTGTCAAGCAGACGAGCTGGGGCACAGCAGGCAGCTACGCTGGTGTCTCCTTCGGCAGTCGGAGATTAAGAAGTTAATTTAGAAAGCCGAGGGCAGCCGAAGGAGATCTTGTAAGTTCCAGGAATATGATACAGGCCGAGAGTCAGCAATGGATCGCTGACGTCTGAACAGGAGGTTTTCCCTCCTGGCCCAGTAGGACTCTTGTGTCTCCTCTTTTTCGTTACATTGATTACCTGACCAGAACCACAGTGGAGGCAGAGATGTTCTCATCTTGAACCTTTTACTTAGTGAACAAATGACTAATATGGTGTTGTTGCAGAGCAAGCCTCCCGTTAAATACAAAGCTCTGCACGAGTGACGCAAAAGGTCCGTAATTCTTCTTGTAAACCATCAAAACGTGCTACAGCCAACTCTGAGACTCTTTCCAGGTGTCTGGTCAGTTCAGTGTGGCTGCTTGAAATACAGGTGTCTCTTCAGAGCAACAGAGAAAAGAGAAGGAGAGGCAACATTTAATAAGACAAGCTTTATTAATGGAGAGAGGTCAGAAAACTACAACAGAAGAGCAGCAGCAAGAGTCTGGAAATGGATTACAGAGAGATCAAAGGTTTAATTTAACATTTAAGTACAATTGACAGCACAAGGAGAAAGGTGAAGGTTTGCTAGTCCAGAGAGAACAGTCTGCAGCAACAGAAGAACAGGTGTACTATCTCTACAGCCAGTACATATTGAAGTCACACCTACTGAGTGTATTCAAAATAGGATCATGACTCAATCAAATGGTTACATGTCATACTCAGATACGCAAGAAAATGTAAATTACTCATGCGCATGGTTATCACAGCTACAGATCTGGTATTAAGTTCGCTTGCACAGTTTTAATTTAAAAAAAAAACAATGTTCAGAAAGTAACACAAGGATCCTATTATTTCCCTCACAAAAAAAGGGAAAATCCCTTTAAGATTCCTGTGCAGCACTTGTATAGTACATTTGGCTACTTGATGTGCTTTGTAAACGTGTCGGAAAATAAAGATTCAGAGGCTGGTCACCAAGTTGGTTAGAGCTCCGTCTTGTAGGAATCTTGAAGGGTGTTTTTCCCTCAGTCTCCAGATCTCCTATCACACCCCCCTGTGGGCACCAGCTGGTTAAAGGTTTCCTCTGCCCGAAGATTGTCAGACTGCAGGCTCCGCTTCCTGCGATTCGCCGGTCTGCTCCAGGCAGGTTCCAAAGGAGAGTTGTGCTTCTAGTGTGAGTCAGCTGCAGTGGGAAGTGAGTGGCAGGGTGTCTACAAGGAACGTCCTGTCCCGGGGTTCAAGGGCAGGCTCAGATGATGCCGAATTGCGCCAGCTCGTGCAGCTCCAGATGGCTGAATGCCTCCCAGGGGCAGATGACCGTGATATCTAGGGCAGAAAAGATTGAGATGTGTTTAATAACTTGACGGGTCACATCTGAGCTTCTGTCTTGGAGATAATATCGTCACTTGCTTATCCACAAGTGCTGCTGAGAATCGGCATAGATGTGCTTCGAATCAGACAGACAGAGTTGGTGGAGTTTTGTGCCATTTCTGAAAGCCTGTGACATTTGACATTGCAAATGGAAGCAGTGTAAGAGTAACGCTTTGGGATCCGTTGTCCTGATCGGTTTCCTGTTTTGATTGCGCAGGAGGAGCAGGGGTGACGATGAGAGACAGACGGTGTTAATCGTTAACGGTAGACGGTGTGCATGTCTAAAAGTGAAGCATGATACTTACCAGTTCCCAGTCCCTCCATCCCAGGAATATCATCACCAAAGCTGGAAAAGTTTTAAAGGAAGATTAGATATACAGAGAACAAAGCCCACAAAAATGACCACAGATGAATGGATGAAGTGATATGATCGTTTGGCAAGAGCTGACAAGGCACAGTTGCTTTTTGCGTTTTTCAGTTCCATCGGTATCGGTAGTGTTTTGACCTGGCTTTTTTTAAAGATCGTGATGTATCTCTCTGTTGCTGATATGTAATATTCAGACCTGTACAGCGTGTGTCCTTCAGGCAGGTCGCTTGCGTATAGAGAAGTAAGAAAGAATCTAATACTCACATGCCTTAATATGGCAGAGCCAGCACAGGTCTGGGTCTGAGTGGGCATAGGACTTACCCCTTCACTCCTTTCTTGGGGGGCTTGCTCTTGAACTGCCGCGTCTGCCTCTGCTTGAACTTGGGGGGGCCTTTCCTGGGAGTGGTGGGTCCCCCGGTCACCTTGGTGGGGGTAGTGGGGTTGACAGAAATGTTCATGGTCCTGAGAGTCCCTGCCCGGCACATAAGCACAAAGCGTTCTTACAGGAGACTTTTTTTTGTGAAAAAAAAATAGCATCTGTGTATTTTCAGTATTGTTACAAATTTATATGTTTACTTTTAAAGGGCTTGGATAATGGATATGCCTCCCTCCCACCCCCAAGAGAATTTCATGTCATTTTGTATTGTGAAGACTATTTGACAGCTCTTTGCATGCTTTATAAAAACAAGCATATTAAAGACATTAAAAGCGGGGGTTAAGCAACCATAGAACTGAGTGTTAAGACAATAAATACTAAAGGGCAGCTTCACCACACAATATTTGACACCTGTAATCCCAGCAAACTGAAAAAGACAGTACTGCCTCTCTCACGCTGTACGCCAGACAGTTGCGTATGTTAGCATACACAACTGTCTGACCAGGCTGAGAGAGGAAATACTGCACTGTGTCCATCAGCAGCATGCACAGCAAGCACTGTGTTGCAGATCAAAAGGAATCCATAACCATCACAGTTTCAAAATTCATTACAGTCTCAAAATCCGCAGTCTCAAAATTCATTAACCTTTCCGTTATCACTGGAAAGGGTGCCATCAAGATAACCATTGGTTGTTCTCCTAAATTCTGTTTGAACAGCATTTCCAATAATGACTTTTCTTCGTCTAAATGTAGAAGGATTGCTTTGCAATGGATCGAAGACATATGCACAACCCTAAGACTGGTAAGACAGACTCTAGTTAGTAAGAATGGAGTTTACTGTAGAGTCCAAAGTATTGATAAGTGACATGCTGCTGTGAATCCAAATCAAATGTGTACTTACTCTCTTACGTGAATGCAGAGCGAAGAATGAGCTGAGGAGCCTCCTGTTATGACTGACAGCTGTCCCAGGTGTCTGCGTCTGTCCTGCACAGGAGCTGCCTGGAAACAGGCCTTTATAGAGTGTTTATTCCGACAGCTGACATCACTGCTACGTCACTGGAAATGTCAGGGTGATGCGTCAATCTGCTCTGAGCTTTAAGCCAGTCCATCTTCAAAGATTAACGCTGCCTTGCTTTGTTTTGTTGACTCTTGATAACCGTATTCCTCTTCCCTGTTTAAACCAGTACATTTTTCAGTCTGGACTCTGAGTCTTTAGCTTTAGATTGTCTGTTTTAATAAAAGGAAAACTAAATGGAAGCTTATTGCACAAAAATTGATCCGGAAGAACTTGAACATGATCGCTCGAGTTGTGTTTTGTGCCATTTAGTATCAGGAGGGAAATCCAGTAGAGTCTGTTGTAAACCAACTGGGAAGCATTTCACTGTGTGGTGCTGTGGTGTCAGAGGGTGCTCAGGCCTTTCACTGGGATCAGTCCTCTCCATGTCTTGCGAAAGGAGAGAAGGGGCTCCTCATTTCCAGCCAGCAAGGGCTACAGTCCACTGTGTCCTACATGTGCTTAAGAGGTTTACAGCTGAGGACAAGGTTCAGCTGGTCACTGAATTGCATAATCACTGGACTTTCCCAGCTGTGTACATTGTTTTGACAGGCACCGCTCAAGATCAAGAGTGCTATTCTGTCCCACAGTGTTATTTATTTCATAAGGGAAAATCAATTACATTAGTGTTCATAACTGATGATCACAGGTGCACGGATAGATGTGTCTTCTAGGTGTCTGTTTCGTTTTCTAGACATGCTAGACAGGACTTGAGTTTTTGATCTTTCTCTTATGCAAAGTCACACCAGCATCTGCTGTGGCTGTGGGGCAGTATGATCAGAAATGCTGCATGTTGTGTTGTTGGTATTATAGAGTTCAGACTTATCCCCGAATACATACAGCACTAATTATATCTTGTTCAAGATGTTCCAGAATCTTGAATAAGTGTATTTTTGTAAATCTGGAAACGGGACAGGCAAAACTGCCTCTTTAATGATGCAAAATGATGTTGTGGGACCCTGATCTCGTCTATTTTTATGCACTTTGCCATAGTGCGGTGTCACTGGGGAATTGCTAAACTATTCAGCTTTGCAACAGTACATTATGCCCCCTCCAGCTGTTTTTAAGCAAAATATTTCAACAGTAATATCTGATGTGCGAAGAATGATTTGCTGTGAACAGCATGGGAAATCTCAGATTAGTGCAAAAATACAAGATAAATACTATAAATGCAGAACAGTGCCATTAGTCTTCAGTAAATTTTACGATTCACTTACTTGACAATCTTTGCCGTTCAATCTATGACCACATTTGTAGACAGAAATACCTTGAAAAAAGCAGCTCAAAATACCTAATACTGACTTGTGAGTATCCCCTGATGACCCTGACGTGGAAAATCAAAGTGCTGTGTTCTATGAGGAGGTATTGCCGATTCTTCCAGCACTTTCCTTTCTGACCTCAAAGGAAGGGAGCCTGCAGTCTGGATTGCGTGAAGTTAACTGGGACGCTGGCTTGGAGCGACAGCGTCTAACTTCTGTTAATGACCAAAGAAGGGATTGAAGGATTTTAAAGATCCTGGTAATCCATAATCCAATTGAGGAGAAGGGCCTGTGCTGCCGCTCAGGGGTTCAGAAAGCGTCCTGCTGTGTTTTAATACATCGATACGATACCTTGCAACACCGCCGACATGAGATCTGAAGATGCAGGTGGACACTATCGCCCACGGACAACTATATCCTGGGCAGCCAGACCAGAAATTCAGTGACAGACGTTAGACACAGAGCCCAGACAGTCAGTGACAGAAGTTAGACACAGAGCCCAGACAGTCAGTGGCAGAAGTTAGACACAGAGCCCAGACAGTCAGTGGCAGAAGTTAGACACAGAGCCCAGACAGTCAGTGGCAGAAGTTAGACACAGAGCCAGGCGGTCATACAACTAACTGGAAAAAAAGTTATTCCATGCTGAAAAAGGGAAGGCTGTGGAGTTCAACTGGTTTGCAACTCCTGTGTGATCAGTCAGATCTGGCAGCCAGATGTTTCAGGGGGAGAACTGACGAATCTTCCTGATCTTAAGACTGTTGGCGTTAGTGGAGTGTTGTCAACCAAGCTGCCTGCCCGGAGCCATGATGTCACAGGGGGTTGCTGGGAAGTCAAAGTCTGAACACAAAGTTTGGGATGGGACCTGATTTTAATTGGGTAAGACACCTCAATCGGCACCAGTGACAGGTTTTCGTGACAGGGCCAGTGATGTCTGAACCATGCAAAAATACTCCTGGAAATGAATTTATAGTGAGACATGTATATTCAGTAGATGTTTGGAATAGTTCCTTCTCGTTTTGAATTTTTTACAGAAAAAGGTCAAATCAAAGGTATCAAACAGATACATAATAAATTAGCATATCACTACCACTTGCTCCATTTAAACAGGAAGGACCTTATCATGTGGTAAAAGCATTTCCATTTAAGGTGGAAGACCGTAAGCCCTCTAGCCCCCTCCTCTGCCTGAATGAAGTACTGAAGGAAAATTAAGCTGACAGACATCTGTTCCCAGTGCTGCAATTTTAGATTCCTCATTGCAAGCGGTTTGTGTAGCTACATGTATGTCTGTGATGCAGACAAAGCTATTCAACAGAATATAAACACAGACTGGTGTGTCTGTATGTGTCAGGATAAGTTAAGTTAAAGAGAAATAGCTGCATTGTTGGCATAAACTTGTGGAGAGAAAAGAGATCGGGTTCAAATCTTCACATGGGGTGAGGTGATCATGCTGTTTGTCTGACACAAAGGGGTTTACTTGTGTTGGTTTACTTTGTTGAGTAATCAAAGATTAGGACAGCACATAGGAGACACATCCATGCTGCTGCTCATCTTCTTTCAGGTTAATTGCGGTGGAGCAGTGCCACTGTGGCTAAGGATCTGCACCTGTAGCTGGAAGGTTGCTGGTTCAAATCCCATGGCTGGCAGAGGAACCCTGCTCAAAAAGAGTAGGGGTGTAATCCTGGCATCCTGGCCATATTCCCCATTGGCCCTTACCAATCATGGCCTCCTAATAATCCCCATCTCTAAGCTGGCTTCATCACTCTGTTCTCCTCTCCAGTAATAGCTGGTGTGTGGGAAGCGTACTGGCGCACTATGGCTGCTGTCGCATCATCCAGGTGGGGCTGCACACTGGTGGTGGTGGAGGAGAGTCCCCATTAACTGTAAAGTGCTTCAAGTGGAGTGTCCTGAAAAATCCTATGTAAGTGTAAGGAATTAATATTATTATTATTATTATTATTATTATTATTAAGACAATTTCAACAGCTGTGAATTTCTCTCCTGTGGAAGATGCTGGGACAAAACATTTTCCCCTTTTCTTGCAAAGCGTGAGTACAAAAGTGAGTTTTCCCCACTGAATTTTCTCTGTCTTTGCGCTGTGTGAGGTCACTGCCTCAGAGGGAAGGGCTGTGGTCTGTAGTGGCTTGTGCAGTCATGTCCTCCAGCGCAGTGGGAGCCTGTGTGTAGCCAGCACTCCCCTCAGCACTCATCTGGGTTCCCCAACACCCCGCAGAACCGCCAGCTGCCTCTGACCTGGGGAGAATCATTAACCAACGTGACCATGCTTTCCAGAGGTAAGACCGCCTGGGGAATGTTCACTCTGTGCCTCTAAATCATTCTCATCCATTGACATATTGTTCTTTATTAAGATGTGCAAATAAGTGCTTTTCTTTTGTAAACCGAGTAATAACAAAAGGCACTACTTGTCTCAGAAAAGGAGGTTCAATCAGTGAGTGAAAAAACAGTGAAGGAACTGCAGTAGCGCAGGACCTTAAGACCTTAAGACCTCATTCATGCAACAAGCAGGTTTCAGTGTGTGACAGTGGAAAGTGGAGGAGTTGGCCTACCTGCGCTGTTTGATTGTTTCAAAACCCTGCAGGCAGGCACATCGGACTGGCAAATCACACCTAATCTGCATCAGGCCCTGCTCTATAATTTAAATTGCTTTTCTGGCAAGACGCCATCGCAGAGTTATGGCCCAGCTACAGTAAGTCGGCAGTCAAAGTGATATTAATTGCAGATGGGATTGAAGGCTTTGTTGGAGGACCCCACCATTGCACTGACAGAGGCAGTGTGAGTGCAGATCAAGGGTGTAGCAACATCCTCGGTTTTTTTAATATCCCTGCAGCTCCAGACACCATGAGCTGTTGACAGAGATGTGTAAATAAGCACAGGAACTACAGCACAGAAAAATAACAAAATGCATCTGTTCACAAAATTTGTCTTTTTTTAAAGTCATATGCTCATAAATCCTTTCTCAAGCACATGCCATACCACACTGCAGTTTATCAGGTACCATAAAGTAATTTATTTAGCTACCACTGTACCTTTTAATGTGAATATGTTGGAATATGTTGCAATGAAATTTATATTTTGTTGATCATTTAGTCTGGGATCTGAACTAAAAATATTGCCTTCACAATTTAATAGCTCCACAGTACTGTAACATCTTGCTGAAAAATGTCACTAGTTTGCCATTTTCAGGGGGTTCGCTATTTAACTGAATAACCACTAGAGGGAGTTTTACTATTCATAAGATATACGGCAGAAAACGTCTATAAAGCTGTACTTCAAGAAAACGTAAATTAGCACAGAGGTGCTCAGTCGTTAATCAGTGTTCATATCTCCACAGAATATTCACAATATTGCAATCCAAGCACTTCTCTGTTTTCCAGTCATCACTTGGTTTCATTAGTTAGGCAGGGGACACGTTCTTACATTTTACGCACTTTAATACGTTTCTTCTGTAGATCAGCTTTAAAAATCTGATGCAGTAATAGTTCAAATAAAAAATGACCAAAGAATTGTAACAAAAGCTCACTTACAATTATTTTTAGACATTGAAAGGGGTTATCATTGCTAAAGATGACTCCAGTGGTTTGCATTTTCATTTTCCTTGACAGTATACAAATTATTTTAATGTGGCATTTCTGGAGTTTTCTTGTAACTAATTTTCCACAAAGCCAAAAGTCCTTCTGTATATTTAAGTTTTTATATTAATTTTTTTAATGCTTTTTTTTTTAGTTTTGTAAGCTGTGCTTATACCATTACTCAAAAACGGAAGTCAATACCTTAAATCAAAAGTAAAAAAAAAGACAAAAACAGTTACAGCTCCTGCCCTCAGCACACTTCTCATTCATTGATCTTGGAACAGTGTAAATCCATCACATGTGTTGCTTTTTCTACCTCCTGGTTTGCAATTCAGTGCTGCCAGGACTCCAGCAAACCTGCGTTTTAATTGGCACTTCTACCGGCTGAGCTCTGACCTGCACAGCCTCATCACCTGCAGAATTGCTCTTATCACACTGCTCATCTGTTCAATTGTAACATTTTATTTTCAGCTTCCAGCAAAGTGCAGGTTTCAGGTTACAAGATTTAAGGGTAATTTATAATCTCCCAACAGCTTGAACCGACTGATATTGCAACACTGTGTCCTAAGATCAGCATTAGAGCAGGAAAGTCATGGGGGTGGGAACTGGGGTGCCGATGGTCTGGTTTGGGGGGTCCTTGTTGGCAGAATTGGGAATGACCCTGAGACCCCAGAGAGGAAATGCTGGCATGAACATTCACTGCCCTCTGATGGGGACAAATGGAAATGTCAACTGGAACTTGAAGCTCAACTGGCAAAAGAGGGCTTTTAGTTTACGAGCACTGTCCGGAAAGGCTCATTTCTGTGAGTGAATAAATGAGAAGCAGGTAAGCATGCAAGAAAAAAGTGATGTGCAACATTGCTGCTGGCCTTCCTTCGGGACAGTGTGCTGGGGGTGGAGGGGCTGGGGTGTTAGCGAGGGGCAGCTGGAGGCCAGACTGATGGACTTCATGCCAGCGTGGAGCAAACAGGAGCTTGAGAGAGCGAGACAGCAGGCAGACACTGGAGGTGAACGTGGTGGGTGTGAGGAGCAAGCAGAGAGAGAGAGAGAACCTTTTGGGGCCTTTGTATCTGGGAGAGGGGCACTGGGGGGGCACTGTGGCCGGTGCCCAGCTGGGGGCGTCACCAGGGCTGGAGATGGAGAACATGAGCAGGGGGTGAGAACACAGGCACAGCTGCAGAAAAAGGGGGAGCCAGAGAGGGAGAGAGACGCTGATACTCAATAGGCATGAGGCATGAACAACAAAAATCAGTCCTGCACATTTCATATAAGTCAATCAGACCTGTACTGGATCTTCTAAGCATGCAGTGAAGTTCCATTTTTAGTGCTATTATAAGGAAATCCAGTACATTTTCTTAATATACAGCAAACTGATTTAAACTAATCCTATGAATAATCATTTATGGAAGCAAACCATAACTCTTAGACTCTTGTCTTTTTAGTTGACACCCAACTTTAACTGTTCTCATAGAGACGTAACCTAAAAAATATCTTAGTATCCCAGATTTGTTTGTAAAGAGCCATACAATACCCGTCGTTACATTTTCAAACCAGACCTCTGGCACTGCTTTGAAACATAATCATTTTTTGAATTTCAGAAAGCTACATTTCTTTCCCCTTTCCAACACTTACTCAGTTCTACAAGAGCTGTCTTACAGCAGGGCAGAGGTGTAACGTTAAACTACCCGGACCAGGGCTGTGTAAATCACCAGCCGGCCGCCTCCAGACAGGCGTGAAGCACAGCAAAGCAGGGGCAGGGCTGCCTGCAAGACGTAATGATCCACTTGCAACGGGAGACAGGGAGGGGAAACTGTGTCTTCGCGAAACTGGGGGTTCTGCTCAATCGCCTGGCTGACATTCCTCGGCTATGCAGGATCCAGTCTTTCTCCCTGCTTAGTGTCTGCTAAGGTGTCTGCTGGAAAAACGTCAACTTGAAGCAGGCTGGCTTACAGAATGCGGCTACCGCTACACGTGCCCTACGTTTGTTTTTCTCCGAACTTGTTTTTAAAAGTGGTTCGGCCTAGCATCCATTATTTAAGAACAATGTTTCGTGTTTCTCTCAGTGAGGCTTAGGGGGAACCCCTTGTAGGGATGTAAAACTCAACAAAAAGCTGTGGGAGGAGAAACACCAGGGTTATGCACTGGGTCCTGTCTGTTAGACCTTTGGAGGGAAAGGAAAAGCCCCCCCACCACCCCCCAGGCCAGGTGACCTATTGAATCCAAGCTGGGAGACGGGTTTACTCCTCCACCTGGGAGACAGTTCCGGAGGAGGAGGGCGCGGCCTTGCTCTTCCCATCATCCTCGGCGGGCTGCGAGACCAGCGCGGGGCTGGGGCTGGAGTGGCGCTGTCTCCTCATGAACGGAAAAACGCTGCGGGGAGAACAGGAGGGGGGAAAGAGAGGCAAAGTGAAAACGGCAGGGAACACGAGCAAGGGGAAAGGATGCGGAGGAGGAAGTACTGACGCCTGCTCACACGGCTCCTGATACCGGAACAAGTCAAGATTTCTTCCGTGCTGAAAACAGAAGAAAAGAAAGGCGACGTGTTCGGGTGTGAAGCCTTCCTCGAGTTTGCAGTCTACGCATCCTGAAGCAGCTACCTTCTTGATAATCCAGCCATCGTTTTTACACAGAGGATAGACCTGCTAGTCCTCCTAGAAATGTGTTAGTCTGGCACGCTCTCTACATGAACAGATGCTCCTAACCACACCACAGTTCCTTTCTTCTTTTTTAAATGGGAGACCAATATATTCCCACTGACTAATCATCTTGCCCCTTTGCCCTGTTTACCCCACATTCCGAATTCCGAGTTGTCTCAGACAGGTAGAGCTCAGACTACAGGACACACTTAAAATGAGCCCTTTGCTAGATGCAGAAAGCAGTAAGGACAGAGGGGAAGGAAAGAGATGGGCAGCCACATTGCTCCGGGAAAAAATCTGATGAAACGGAAATCGATAGAAAACAAAAAATTCTGATTGCCTTTCGCAGCAGTGTGGAGAGCAAACAAAGTGAGGATTTGAGGTTTGAAAGGTTTTACTGTACCTTTTCTTTGTTTCCTGCGGCACAATTGCTCTGGCCAGCAGATTTTTGTACAGGTCCGATTTTAAAAATCTTGGATACGAGTCCTAGAGAACAGAATTGGAAAAACAAATAACATCACGATCTACTAAACCCTTTATATCCCAGGGGAATGACGGTTAATTGCTGCACTGCAGCCAATCAGTCTTGAATTATCTTTTGCTTCCTGCGAGCAGGAAGAGACACTTTGGCTTTGCTTCAGCTGAGGACTGTTCCTCGCTCACAGTCAGCAGTTCCAGCACATGTATGATTTGGTTGCAGGCACAGAGGGCAGCGATTACTTTCTAGCGAAAACACAGTGTCTGAAAACTAAATTGATCGGATAAAAAACTGCTGTTGACTTTGATCATGACTTTTTGTCCAAATTTAAGAAAGTGGTTGGAGGCACGCTCTTACTTTTTTCATCAGGAAGTAGATGTGCATCTGCGCCTCGTCCATAGTGTAGCGGTGAGGAGTTTTGACCCCCTGCAGTGTCTTCTCCATGGTTTTACTGTCTATGTTCACCCACTTGCTGGCACCAGGAGCCAGAAAGTGCCTGGACAACAGAGAAATAGCGAAAACCAGTCTGGTGGAAGTGAGCCCAAACGTTGACGCTAGTTTGGTGCTTCTACGGTACAGCCAGTCCTACCCACCCCGGGAGAAACATGGAAAAGAGCAGACTCTTCAGTGCAGACTCTTTACCAGACCCGGCCCTTGTACAAGAGAGATCAGCACTTACTGGTACACCTCTTCCACCTTCTGCGCTATCTTTGAACTCTCTCCATGTCGAATGTCTTCACAGGCTTCCCAGAAACACAGATTCTCAGCTGCCGGACGAAACAGCATAAACACCAGTAAACAGAGATGCAGCAGAAGCCGCCCATCAGCTTACTGGATACTAACATCTACGGCCTGACCTTGTTACATAATTTACGCAGGCAGCCACTGTTAACTATGCTACTGAATCTACGCATGCACACAACTCTCTTTTTTCTGTTCCAGCTTGCAAGGTCCTGTCTGGGCTTCCTGGTCCTGCTTGCTCACCGCTGAACTCCTTCTCCAGGAACTGGTGGAACTCTCTTCGCCCCAGAGGGTCGTTGAGCAGCTCCGGGAAGCTGAAGCCCCAGCGCTCCACTCTCATCTTGGTAGGCGTGGCCACCCTTCACACACACACACACACAGCGGTACTCAGTACAGCTTCTGGTGCAGCAAGACCCTGTCTGCACCCTGCAGTGCAGGCAGCTTTAAAACTGCACGTCTCTGCTGCGCCTTGCCAAAACACAAACGTCTGAAGGGCTCAAGGAAGAAAAGGTAGCCACCTGCAGCTTACTTTGGTTGCTGTAGCCAAACAAAAACACAATGAAATCTTCTAAGACTACAACAACATGTCTGTAAAGCAGAGGCCTGTAGAAAGAGACTTCTCCGAATCTGTTTAGGACCTTTCAGTGAAAATAAGTCTTAATATCTCACAAAAAACAGAAAAGAAGTCGTACCTATGCAAGTGATACTAATAATTTTCTCATCTTCAATAGGAATCTCTTAACAGTAGTCGGTATCAGGCGACGGACTGGAAAAGATGAAATCTTGAATGCTCACAGGTACTCACAGGTCTGCGTTCATAGACCAGTGCATGGTGTCGTCTGTTATCCAGGGGTTACTGGGAAGGCAGCCTTGCATTATGGGATCATGGCAGTGGTACAGCTCGCTGTACTTGACAAACCTGGTGGACACAGCAACACCAGTCAGATGACGCCTGCATACTCAGCCCTAAAGGGGGTCTCTTCCGTTAAAGTCAACAGGTGACCCAATCAATTGTTTGACTTGAAATAACGCCTAAGCACTTAGCCATGTGCCTTCAGGGGAAATTTAAAGTCTAAGATAAATTATAAGCAAGTTGTAAAGAAAGTTATCTTAGTATTTTCAGCATTTGTTCTGCAGCTCCACACAATCTGTGTGTCATTTAAGGCCATAGTAACCGTGACCTGCTTTCTCCTAGATAAAAAAGGGCTCCATTAGACCCAGAGAACTAAAAAACAAAAAGGCACTACTTAAGTCAGTTGAAATTAAATAAAGCATTACCCTGCCTGAACTATTCTTTTTAGACCACTTTTGTGATGGGATAATGTTGAGAAAGGCACAATGTTACATGCAGTGCATTAGGACACGGATGTCAGGAAGAGAGATTCAATCTGGTTCTGAAGCACGAGGCCGCAGGGTAATGAAGAGTCACACAGCTCTGTGTGGCCATTGCCGGTGGACCCCCGAGTCCTGCTCAGCTTCAGGAGTGTGTGGGATGAGACGACGTGCTGGCCCACCCCTCCAGGCAGATGGAGGACTTGACTCGCGTTCGGCTCAGGGCTTTTCTGCTGTGCTCAATCTAGGACATAACACACAGAAAGAGCCCCACTCAGTTAGGGTAACGTCCTTCACAGCCTCTTTCATCTTGTAGAAAGTTTACCCCCGTAAATTCCCATGGTATTACAGCACTTTCCTCAGTGCACTGATTTTACTTTCCCTTCACAGTTATTATCGCCCTCATCCACGCTCCTCAACATTTAAACACAGTAAACTCCGATATCTCGCCCAAACGGAAAACTACTTTCTGTCTTTTTTGTTCTGGCTGAGCCCTGCCATCAGGTTTATCTGTTACTCGAACAGAAACACTACGTGGCAGCGAACGAAACACTCACCTCTTTCTTGTAGTATTCGCTGTTCTTTTTTTTCTGAGGACAGAAAGGAAAGAAAGGGAAATCGTTGTAAAACGGCACTGTTTACACCCGCCTGCCCGGGCATTCCTCAGTCACACTACTTGTGTGTCAAGAAAATGAGTCAAGCGCCACTGCTCTAGAGGGGTTCCAACTGGGGGCGCTTTGTTAAGCTGCAGTCATGCAAGGCCGTAAGCAGGAGACAGTGATCGAAGTATCAGGCCTACAGTATTTCACAGTCACGCGAGCTGCAGATGAGGACACGTCTCCAATTCTTTCCTGCCCCTTCATCCAAGTGCTCAGAACTACCCCCCAGCTACTGCAGTTCTCGAAACCGTGAAAAAAATCTCTTTTCAGCCAGGCAACCTTTCAAAACAATTTTTAATCCATCACGGATAAAAAAAGAAGCAGAAGCCCAGATAAGTGTATACTTACTTTTTTTTTTAAGGGAACGGGAAGCAAAAAATAAAAAGCAACAGATTAGTAAGGTCACTGGAAAGACGAATGGTATTTACTATACAAGACACCAGCAGAAAAAACTTAATACAAATGTATGAGCAATAGACAGGAACACATTGTTTCTGGCGAGAGGCTATCCTGATTGAGAATATATTGCTACTCTATGTGGAGTCTGACGTGTTTCCTAATTAGGGACTGTGTGTTACACTCCAGCGCAGAGAGACGCTTTGGCACTAACCAGCTGGACACGCGAGTTGAGGCAGTTCCTTCGTTCAGGGCCGCGCTCCAACACGTCCAGAGCCCCAGGCTGGGAAACAGGAAGAGATTGCTTGACTGCCCTCGTAGCAGTAAATGAAAAGTGGTTTTCACTGATATTTCTGCTTGAACGGCAAAGAAGATTGCAGTGCCCCCGATTCAGGTTCCTTCAATATTTGCCAACATGATGTGCTCTTTCTTTCTTGGCCAGGTGATAACGGGATCGTAGTAGAACCTTTTCCTAATGGTCAGACCTGCTACGAACGTGAAACCTGTGCCAGTTGTAGGTTCCCATACAGCACTCGAGATGATCTAGAACCGTACGGTGGGGATCCTGGCCACGTGATTTTCTAGAAACAGGAATCTAAAGGCTTGGCAGATGGTCAGTAATCATTAGCTTTTTGATTCTTTTTTTTTCCTTCTCCTGAAGGTGACCGAGATACCACCGTAGATAAGCAATACAGTCCTGTGTGATCCATGCATTCTCAGAAACAGATCAGCACTGTACTGGCAGTGGAAGCTTGCACTAACTGCCACCATGCTGTCCAGTACTTGTGATTTTAGACAAAACTTAAGTGGGGGTCCTATATTGGATAAATGGATGAATGGATATGCAGGGGTGATAGGATACTTCTCACAGTAAGAGGTAACGAACGGAACTGGTTGTGCTGAGCTATGCGTTATTTTTCTCATGACCTGCATATCTGAGGCAGAGTGTCCACTTGTCTTGGAAGACACAGTAAGCTAACAGAAGAAATCTGATGCCGTGAGGCTTTTATGATCAGCCTACCTGATCACTTCCAGCTTGTCTCACAGGGAGACAAGAGCAGGATAATTCAATCTGAAATACAGATATTCAATTGGCTATATACTTTGTAACATTAGATGTGCTTGCATGGGGGGAAAAAATGAAATACTGGAAGCTGACCTATTACACAGAATTCATGTTAAATGAATTAGAAACTAATTGTTGTGTTTAGCACAGAATAGAGGAACAGGAAGTGGTAGAGAGCATCCTGCCTGCCCTTTGGAGATGAATAATACCACTGCTTCTTAGCCTGTCTAGATGTTCCCTGGGTCTGAAAATGCACTACCCCAAATATTGTGTAAGATATTTAATGGCAGAGCTTAAATATGCAGTCTTGATCTGGAATTAGAGTTAATATTTTCCAGGCATCAATCAGAGCTTATGATTCTGGACGGAAAAGCAGCTTACTGCTGGTGAAGTTGAGCAATGCGCTCTCTGGGCCATTTGATCCTTAATCTGCTCACACTCTGTGCTCCTGGTCTCTCTCATGGACTGCACACTCTAACGGGGCATGTTACTCATTCTGGACGGGGACAGAGGTTCATCGGGCTTCTACGCCATCTTAATACTGCTGAAATGGAAAGGGCTCCACAGGATACGCGCTGCTGCAGGAAAGTCACGGTGACACAACGTTCATTTATTAGGCCTTTCGGCTCAAAGTCAGCAGACTGTGAATTCTGATAACACAAAACTGCTGCTAGCTGAAAATCCTGCAGCTGGTTACTACAAGCAATACTGATGCTTCCTTCCACACTTAAACTTGCAGTGGAGAGAGAATGACTCTTGCACTGCCCTTGAGCTACTTTTTCTTCAGCCTCAGCAATCCACTGTTGTTCTTACATTCCTTTATTTCAGTCAGTCTTTCTGGATTATTCATGAGCTCCCAGCTACAGAGTACACTTTCTGCTCACTGCTCCTCACCACTCATAGTGATTTATTCCCAACAGGAAGGCATGTTTGGGCTTTTAACTCACTTCTAAATATTTAATCGTCACGTTGAGACACAAGGCCAGAACAGAGCACAGCATTCCTGAAATGTTAAATTCTCCTTGATCTTTAAATAACCTTTTAGTTTGTTTTTTTTACTTAGTTCAGCGTTAGAAAAGTGGAAACATCACGATCACAAATGAAGGGTCAAGTAAAGTCCCCAGTAAAAACTGTCCTAGCTCTTCGAAGAAATGAGTTTACGCAACATTGGTGGCAATTTCTTTCCAGGAGGTATCACACAATGTGTACAACACAAACTGAGTCAATAGTGAGTGGGTCTTTGTCACTCAAGCTGCTTACTGCGGGTGAGATGATATACTGTACTCTGTTGAAAATGAAATTACTCGCAGAACCCTTTTCTTGTTAAGGAACCTACAGATGCACCCCCAAAAGTCTGTTATTACAAATTTAAACTTCCATGACTACTGATCAGATTCATGGTGAGTCACAAAACAAGGATAAAGTAAATGTTTCGGCCAACATACAGTGAGCATTGAAAATAATCACCAGAATCTGCAACATCTTCACAGTTTCATCTGGGCATTTTCTGACAACCTCTGGGCATCTCACTTACTGGAGGTTTGTTGAGAAGCCAGTAGGCCTGCTCCTGGCATTCCAGCACGATCCGATCACCCTTCCTTCTCTGCTTTGCAGCCCTAGTCAGAGAGGAACACGCGGCGCTGAAAACAGGACAGTACGTCCCCGAGACTGACAGACCCGAGCAGGCCCCAGCAGCGAGCCTGCGGTCAGCAGGAGATGGAAGGCTACGTTTTCTTCAGGAGGGTTAAATGAAGCTACTTGTCCAGCGGGTGCTCTCAGGACTGCGTGCTTCGAAATGTGAGTCTCCTGCCCCTGTTGCAGCAGAGACACTAACATCCTTCGACTTATTCATGTGTGCTGTTCATCGACAAAGCATAGAAGAAGCAGAGGTTCAAAACACATTCAGCACATACTGTAGTGGCACAGGAAGTTACTGTCAATAAGGAAATCAAGTGCCTGTACAAACAGGAAAAGCTTAATAATACGGTGATCAGCTGCCCATACCACTGACATAGGGCTCTTTGTCATGTAAACTACTCCTGCGAGTTCACTTCCATCAACTGGCAGTAATAGACAAACAACAAATCAGGTCTCCATGCTGACAAGCTGAATAAGGATTCTGTGGTCCTGTAGAAATGTACTCTTTTATAGCTTTTGGTTTTCTTTGCAGCTTTGCATTAAAAAAAAACATTTACTTAAAATCTGACTCCTAGTTTTGAACAAGAGTGATGAATACAAATTTTATTTAAAACCTCTGTATTGTATATATGAACCTCGTGTATCTATTGAAATCATAAGTCTAGATTTTATTCCCACGGAGTGCCTTTCCTGACCAACACCACATTTCCATCATTACCTGCTCCACAAATCAGCATCTCATGATTTATCAGTTCACACTTCAGAATGCATATTCCTCTTAGTGCCTGAAGTCATTTTCTTCAAGGAAAATAAAATCTAAAGCACACTTAAATACAAGGATATCAACTACTGTACCACAAATGGACAATCTGTTTACTTTTGTATTCCTAACAGAGAGAGAGCTATTATATTTTAACAATGCATCAGTCATACAGACTAAAAATATTTTTTTAAAAACCGATCCTTTAAAAGAATCCTGCACTCTACATCTGCTCCTCTCACGATCCACGAAGTTAAGAGAGCTCTTTCTCGGCTGGAGCACCAAGTGTATTTGTTTTCAGGGACTATTTACCTGAGCTGTTCCCTGGCTTGCATCACCACGAAATCCCAGGTGTGGTTAATCCGTTTATGCAGCAGATTGTAGTTGTCCTGTAGAGAATAAAGATCTTGAAAAGCCACATGGAAGAAACAGCAAAGGGCATCAATATGCTTTGGTTCCAAACAACCGCACAGAACAAGCCGCCTATCCAGTGAGAAAGTGACTTCAATGCAAAGTTGTCAGCCTCTATGTCAGGAAAAGTAGTCACATGATTGACAAAGGCTCCACTCCTTCAGGAAGAGTAAAAGGTTTTTGCTCTGGCTGTGCACCGTAGAAAGTGCAAGACGCACTAATGGGGTGAGCCCAGAGCTCGCATGACAGAACAGCGGTGCGCGATGTCGACATCACAAGCACGCAGCCGCGAAAAACAAAACCTGCTCGTACATTCTGCCGTTTTTGCCTTTTGCAATTTAGGAATGGCAGGAAGCGGCCATTTCAGGTATAATTTCTAACAATGCTTCTTATTTGTGTATGTTTGAAAGCCGTCGAGTTCAAAAACCTGCTCGACTGAAGAAAAACAGGAGAGGCTTCATCTTCCAAAAGAGGGGTGCCTTCATCAAGTCACAAGTAAGATCAGCCTTGTTTTAGTTGTTCACTGACTGTGTGAGATGGGGGTTAAGACTTTTGCTCTATACGGTAGATAACACCTCTCCGACTGCAACAAAATCAGCCTTCTAGAAAGTAAAACAAGATTTGTTTTTATCCGTTTTTCTATGACTTTGAAGCACTAATAAGAGAAAGAGTTCTGGGTGACTTAATCCCAAGCACGTCGATTGTGCATCTTTGTGTGGGAGACCCTGGCCGCAATCCAGTTAATCCTGGTGAGATCTAGATCCCAGATTAAACAAAACAAAAAAATAAACAACGAAACATCTCAATTTCCATTTAGACCCAAATGCCGCTCACTCTTCGCCCAGGCGAACCTTTGCTCAGGGATCACAAGTTCAAATCTTTGCAGAACAGCAGCATGCAACAGCTGGAGCATTAATTCTGCAGAGACAGTTTGCCATTAGCGTAGCTAATTCATAACTGGGGACTAAAATCTGTGCTTCTGTGGCAATGGGAATTAAAAATTTAAACCTGCTTAATCAGTGCTGCCAGTATTACAGGAGGGGCTGGTGATCTGCGTGATGCTGTCCTGCAGTGACCAGTGTAAGTGTTCTGAAATTGTACCCCGGTAAAATACCACAGCTCGACACAGAACTGCTTGTTATAGCACGGAGATTTTAAATGTGTTAAACATAAAATATGTTTGTTTTGGCGAAGGCCAAAGCCATCTAAATGCACCGCAATCCTAGGGAAAGAAAGAACGCTCTGTCGTTTATTTCGTTACCTTTTCATAGTCGACGAGCTCTCCTTGCTTTCGGATGTTCTTCTTTGCCAAATAAATCGCTTCACCGGTTCAAAAAAAAAAGAAGAAAAGCGAGCCATTATGCCAAGAACACAAGAAGAGACAAAACACACAAAAAAAACAGTCTAGAACTGATCCTCGGGTGCCACAGGATGAAACAATATTACAAAACTTCCCATGAATCTGCACATCTGTGTCCAGTCCCGCTGCTGTTCGTTTTTCCCAGTTTTTTAAATGCCCTCAACTGTCAGCCCACTAATCTAAAGAGAAATGAGGTTGGGTTCCTGGTTCTTAACCTTGAAAAAATATGCAAATGCAGGCTCACCATAGTCCAGCTCTGATGCGGGCCATTTATTAGTTGTCCAGAAGTAGGGAGTCTAGCAGAGGACAGAGTATGACGATTAAAATTCACATATTTGAACAGCTTGCCCTATAACAGCACGTTCAACTAAAAGAGAGAGTATCTGCTTTTTTAAAGTCAGTGCTGGTAGCAAATTCAGCGCTGTAGTGTCATATTGGGTCGTTTACCGAACCGTTCTATACCATAAGGTGTCATGGGAAGCCGGAGCCTACCTGGCAAGCAACAAGCGCAAGGCAGGGTACACCCTGGACAGGACGCCAGTCCATCACAGGGCAAAGGCAAGCCAATCACACATGGGGACAGTTTGGAGGCCACGGTAAAGGCCGAGGGAGGGAATTTGGCCCAGACACCGGAATAACTCCCTACTCTTGTCGAGAAATGCCCGGGGATCTTTAATGACCCGAGAGTCAGGACCTCGGTTTGACGTCTCATCCAGAAGGTGGCGCCCACTACAGGGCATTAGGACCCACACAGACCACACAGCCCCTCGCTGGTCCCACTAACACCACTTCCAGCAGCAACCATAGCTTCCCAGGAGGTCTCCCATCCAGGGACTGACCAGGCTCAACACTGCTGAGCTTCAGTGGGTTACCAGTTGAGAGCTGCAGGCTGATATGGCTGCTGGCTGCACTGTAGTGTAAAAACCTGAATCTGGGAGTCCAGCTCCTGGAGCTTTCAATGACTGCAGTGTAAAGGGACTGACAGTAACACTGGAGTGGGACTAGGAGCTGCATCAGGGGGGAATCTGCACAGAGACATCAGTGTAGCAACACACCCACACATGGAATGGGCCCATCATTACCAGCACGCACATAATACGGAGAGTAAGCCTTCATACTATCCAATACTACACTGTGGTGGGCTGTGCGAGAAAGAACAGACCTGAAAGCGGTAGGGAGAGTCGTCAGGCCTGAGGATGAGGGTCTTGGGGTCCTTCAGAGGGTAAATGTAGCCGAACTTCACAATGAGGTTGCCCACATGCAAGGCCTCTGAAAAACAAACTCTTCATTTGGGTTCGTGCAAGAGCAGCCCAATAGTCTGCATATTACCGAATCTATTTCTGTAAGCTAATGAGATTTTCTGCTCCCTCCCCCCTCTCCTTTTTCTGGAAACTCGTTTACATTCCTCTCCCACTTTCACACGGGTAATTCCAAAACTGTCCAGTCACACCAGCACAGAAAGAACTCCAGGTCATACTCTATTCAGCTTCGCAGACGTTTTGGAGAAGGATGAGTCAGGCGCAGCCAGGAATAAACAACAGAAAGATTGGAAAGTTTCTTTTTCCACACGGCGGAGCGCACACTGAGACCAGCCAGTCACTGAGGAGGAGGAGGAGGAGGGGTCTTGAAGTCACAATCCGCTGCCTCACTGTGCCAAGGGAGTTACAGAGTTTACAAAGTGAGCCTAGCTCTAGTGACAAAAAAAAATTGGCTTTTCAATTTGCCCAGAAAAGCCAAAACAATAACATTTCATCAGAAATGTTTACTCACGCCTGATTATTCAGATATATAATTAGCATTCAGGTAGGATGTTAATTAATTCAAACAGACACACATGTTCTCTCTTGCAGACACAGCACCGGGAGAACTCTCTGCGCTGGGGCTTGGTTTAATTCTGAGTGACTGGTAATTACCACCTGCATTAACCTAGCCCTGCCATTGGCTGCCCAGGGCCCTCAGGGGCGGGCCCTCGATCCTGCAGATGGCCCAAGGGACTTGCTAGAGACACACAGGGTCTCAACGGTGTACCCATCGACATGGCAACAAGACAGCAGGAAGGACTCCTGGTTATGACCTCCCCAGAAATGAAGAGCTGCTAAGTTAAGCAAGAGGTGGAAAAAAACAGGCTCCCAGTACAGGTCTCATGGGTCTACGAAAATACTTTTTTTTTCCAGCTTACCTGGAAACTTGAGTTTTGTTTACCAGGTGAGCCAGGCTGAAAGCAAGCTTTTCCATAACTTGCAGCAGAACCTGGGCCACAAAAACCCTGAAGGACCAGGGACTATGAGAGTCTCTGTGAAGCTGAACTGCCTAAGCGTGACCTCACGTCTGACCACTGTCCAAGACAGAGGCAGCAAATCCTACACTGCAGTCGGTCTACTTTTTGCAATGCCTTCAAGACACCCTGAGATCAATCCTGAAGGATTAGGTCTATTCCCTTATATCCCTGTGTGCATACTGTAATTATGATTTTGTAAGAGGCCAGCCTGCTCCATTCCACAAGTTCATCCTCAACAAAAGCATCCATCATATATCAGATTTGCTGAACCTTCTGCTGTACTAGAATTGCCCACTCAGGAGTCAGAAGGATCTTTTCGGTTCCCAGGGCACCCAGCTTCTCCATTTTCCCTGACTTCTCTTAAATTGCAGGCTATCTGCACCATGTGAAACCACACTGTCTCTCAGTTAGACAGCCAGTGCCATGTGATGACTTAAAATAAATGGAGAAGCTCTATATCTTATCTCTATACAATGGGCAGATTTATCCATCGTTTTGGTGCAACATTAGCCAACTGTATAGATTCCATCCATTATTTAACAGCTCTCAGGCCAATCAATTAGAGTAATTGCTCCACTACAGAAATAGATCAATAATTCAACAGACTGATGGATAGCAGGCCAAGAAAAAAAAAAGCCTTAGATCAACAAGGAGAATATACAAATGCTTAGGAGGCTGCCAACATGAAAGGCAAGAAAGTGTGGCACAACTCTGCCACAGGGCAAGTCCTGGACCTGTGACAGTCACCGGTGGTCTCTGCCGCCAAGTTAAATCAAGACTGAACCTGAACACCAGCACAGCCGACTTCAAATGTTGAAGTCCTCCTATCCCTAAATCACATTTTATTTGTAGTGCAATCTTGATGCATGCTTTTACTACACAGCGTCATGGACTACAAACACACAGGAAATAACTCTGACAGTTTATCTGTGTGTACTGAAACTATTTACTGCATTACACTGTTCACCTTAATTCCTCTTAAAAAGCACACTGTTCACAAATACTGATCTCTTGATTTTCATTCATTTTCTTAAAAATATTTCAGTGTAAGCTGAGTTGAGACCTCCCCTTCTTTCTCGTGAATCTCTCTCACTACTCTAAGCACAGTGTTGGGCCTTTGGCTTTATAATCACAGTTTAATGGCCCCATCAGTCATTCAGGCTCTACAAATCCAGCAGTCGGGCCGACTCAATCCAGGCTGCGTTCAGAGTGCTGCAAGTGGGTTTTCATCCTCTTGTCAGAGTCAGACTCCCTCCCCCCCGCCCACTTACCCTCCTCGGTGATAGAAAACTTCTGAATCAGCCACTCCACGATATCATTTCCTAGACGATACAGAAGCAAGGAAAACAGAAATCAATGCCCACTGTAGCGAGGTACTTACGGGGCACAGCTCACTGAGAGAGCAGGCAGGAATCTCAGGGCTCTGAAAGAAGCCCGGAGAGATCAATACCTACTCTAATGCACAGGAGGAGGATTCCCCAGGCCTGATAATTGTCTTTCTGTTTTACTAGCAGGAACATTAAACCCCATTATCTCCTTACCAGAGTACAACAGCTGCAGTGACACAGAGGTTATCAGCAGACCTGATCTTGTGAGCCCGCGAAGCCATCAGTCAGACACCCAGAGACCCTGAATGTCTTGTGGTTATTCTCCCAGTATACAGGGACTTTTCTCTTCCTCATTTATTTCTCAGGGCTGCAGATTCTCAGATGGGAGTTTTAGAACACTGTGTGAGGCAGTGATGCATCACTGGTCTAAATGAACTTTCTACATCATTCATCATCAATTACAGGATTGTCAGGTAAGACATCCTATAATTTGCCTTCCTGGAATAGCAAGCCCTTTGTAGCTGCTCTGCAGTTCATTCGTGATGCAGATACTGTTCTTCCGTTTGCCTTGACTGAATTTTGTTTCTAAGGAAAATTATTTTCTGGGACAATATCTAGTGGAAAGAAAAGGCATTGCAGCTAAGAACTAAAACAATAATAAAGCCCAAGAAAGGTATAATGGAGACATTCCAGGTGGACAGTTTGTTAGCATTGAAAAATACAATCTGTAGTATTTTCTCCTCTATTGAGTGAAAAAATAGCTCACCCAGCCGTGTAGTTATGACCTTAAGAAAGTCAGCCACACGTTATCAAGAGCCTTTCCCTTATTTGTATCTTTAAAATAAAGAGCACACAATAAAAGCACACTTTACAGATGGTGAAACATCACAACGTTCACAGGATCAGCTGAAATGAAGTCAAAACACTCAGGAGCTCCCAAAACAGCACTGTGCAGGCACACACTGAGTCTCCAGGCCTCGACACAATTAGAGCTCAATTTCGAGTGGTGCTGGAAGAGCACTCTGTCTTCCAGCCTTTCAGCGCCTCTGCAAATTGAGACTCCCTCTTCACATCATTGTTGCTGTCTACTGCCTGCTCCACCAGGTTAAAGGCAAGGAGTGCGCAAGAGCACCATCCAATATCTACCTCAATTAACTTATTCAAATTTACTCCGCTATCGGGCTGGCGTTCCACGATCACGTCTGCCTGAAGCCTCCTGTGTGTAAATGGACCCGTAGATTCTGTTCTCTAAAAGCCCCAAACCTCATACCAAAAGTCAAACGGGCAGAATTCCTCACAGAAATCTAATTTAATTGCTCTAATAAAGAATGTGCAGTTGAGGGATCCATATCTATCAAAACGTTCTGTGTGGATCCAGTTGATGAGAATGAAAGATGACAAAGGCTTATTGTACTGGGAGACCTCTTTTTATTCAGGGAATCTTACTGAAACAGAAACCGCTGGAGGGACTTCAGCAGTTATGAACTGTCTGTACCTGACCGCTATCAGAGCAGGAGAATGAGCAGAGGTCAGTGTCCGCAGACCTATGGGCCTAAATACACTGTATACCTATGGGCTGCTGACCACTGTCCGCTGACCCATAGGTATATACTTTATTTCTGTATATATCTATGTGCGTTTTGCACATATTTTATTATTTTACAGTGATTTTTAGCATATTTTGCACACACCTAACTCTAATTTATTTTACTTTGTCTTGCTGTACTTGTTTTAATTTTTCGTCTCTTCTGATGTCTGTTTTTGCTTGTCTCGGGCTGGGTTGCTGTAACACCTCAGTTTCCCTTCGGGATCGATAAACTCTTAACTATGTATCTCACCTGTCACCGCGTGAGGGATCACAGTTATCAAGAGGCGCTGGTTTCGCATCTTTATCCCCATGTCGGGGTCCTGCATGGCCACAATAACTCGCTCCATCTAGAAGAAAAGAACCGGACTTTATTCCGTCATTGACTTCGCACCCAGCAGACAATAGGGAGGATAATTCACTCCTTCGGGTCTTCGATTATTAACCGATTTAGAAATGAAATATTCCACCCAACTTCTCGTGGTATTTTTCTGGTGTTGAAGGTCCAATAATAGAAATCTGCCAGAGTGCTCTAGGATAACCGAGTGCCCGCTGATGTCCAGAATCAAGTTAAGTCCGTTCCGTTTGAAATTCCTGGTATTGGAATAGGTTGCTTCAGTGTGTCCTATGAATAAACGCACCTTGATGCGCTCATGCCAATAGTTTGCACCTCAAAACAAACGAATGGCGTCTAGTTAAATCTAAGATGTTCAGTTAATTTCAGTAACTGTTCCTGGTGTCAAAGTCTCCTGACCCTGTGCTGTGACGAGACCCGAAAACTCTTCACCTGACGGTGACATACCGTACCACCGTCGTGATTCTCGCCGGACATACAAGTTCACTCGCGCGAAGTCGGTTTCTTCAATGCATAACCATGTTCATTTTATTTTTCGACACTTTGAAACGGTTGCACATTGGCCACGGCACTCGGGACCCTCGGGGCACCCGAAGCGGGCACGACCGTCCCCGGCTGCGACCGCCGGCAGACACTGGCGCGCCTCTCCGCGAGTAGCTCCAGACCGGGTCCCAATCTCCCTCGCTCTGGAAAGCCAGCCTCACCTACCTTCACATTTCAGAGGAACACCAGCACACAGAACAGGGAGAACACGCTGCCTCTTTCGAAAATAAACCAACTTCGCTTTAAAGACGCGAACACGCGTACAGTTCGCAACTGTAGCAATGTTACTCGTCTGTATCCGTGCACAGCAGCAGTCATTTGGAAATCATTGTAATTTAAAAAAGGGAGTTCCATAGCGGTGTATTCGGCTGTTTGTGCTTAGGTTCAGAGATGCACAGCTCACGCTGTCTGTCTCACTCTGAGCTTCCGAAAAAGAGCATCAGCCTTCACAAGAGAAGAAGTCTTAGCTCTTTCAAGAGTGGCAAAATGCATTTAAGTAAAAACGACATCGAAAATGTTATACTCCTTACCTTTGTGAAGCACGGCATTTGCACTTTGTAGTTGCCGCCTTGACTTAACGTGTTTATGGTCATGCTAGCAGATTTGCGCCTCTGCCTCTCTGCTCTCTGGCTTTCTGAAGTTGGATGTGGTTCGTTCGGAATTAGAGGATGCGGTGCATCCCAAAAATCAGGCGACGGTGTTACTGCCCCCTAGCGGACACAAGACGTAATGAGCTCAGAGACCCCCGCGACGCTCGGGACAATAGGGAATGGAAGCTCTATTGTTGGAAGTTGTTGAAATTGTTGAAATGGACATTCAGCGAAAACGACCGCCGTATTGCAAAAGCATGTCAATAAACAGTTCTGCCCCCCTCCTGCTGACGTTATTTATTTTGTCCAGCTATCAGAGCGCCACGAATTAAGCATGTACAACATACGGAAAACATTCAGAATTAAACCAGAATCGTAGTTTTGCTTTGTTCTAAACACATTCAAGTTCTAGGTTATTTCGTCGTGATTGCTATGATTTAAGACCGCCAAGGAGGTTTCTGCAAACGCATGATAGTGTTACAAAGCAACGCATGCATTATTCATCATGTAAATTATGGCCAGCTACAGTGATTTCCAACGTTTGCACGCATTACAGCACTTGGTTTATTCGTGTGTATTATTTATGCCACGTATGATGTGACGTTTGTTTGAAGCAACGTAACTCAATCGCTCTTTGTGTTCCTAGCGATTGCTAATGAATAAGTGGCGACTAACACTTCTGAGTTGACCGCCGCCGCCGCCCCACTCAGAAACAGCGGCCCCAGGTCGAGGTAAGAGTTCATGCTGCTAAGGGTATTGTAAATACACCAATTTAGTGTTTAAGTACTTCCCATCCCCAGTCCTGCTGGTTTTGTTCCAGCTGACTTCTGAATGACCGCTGCTCACTGACGCCTTTAATTCTGGGGGTCTCAAGACAACCTGCTGGGGTTTTTGTTTTTGTAGTTTTTGCTCCAACCCCAGTAGTCAGTTAAACAATTCGCCTGCTTATTTTCTCCATCAGACTCGTATACGATTTCCCCCAGGTCTTTCAGAGTCGATTACACAACAACGTCACTGAGCTCCTTGATTGGGATTCTTGATTTCTGCACTTATTGTAGGCTTGAGTTAAAACAAAATACTCGTCTTTAAAAGTGTTGTTTCTAACTGCTTCGGACATCTCCTCAATATGTTGTCAATATTTAATGGCCAGACGCAGGTGGGGGAGACCGTGTATCAGAGACGTCCACGATGAGAGTTTTCCCTTGGCAGAAGTCAGGGAGGTGCTGAAAGACAGGCATTGGTACAGGACAAGTAGGGAGCTGCGCCAGCATGCGTAGGCTGCAAAGGAACAAGTAAAAGGTTTATTCCGTGCTGAAAAGAGAAGAAAGGAAACGCAACGTTTCGGCTGTGGAGCCTTCTTCTCTTTGAATAAACCTTCATTTGTTCCATTGGTACAGGACTGGTCCCAGAACTCATTCAACGATTTAAGAACTGACGGCCATTTGGGAAACAAAAAAGCCTCAAATAGGACATTTGTAAGCGACTGCCCCTTGATCCTGAGCGCGACTGGAGTCCCATCCGAGTCACCCGTGCGGTTCGGCGGTGACTCTCTGCTTCGAAGCTTTTCAGCAGCGTTTCCAAACTGACGTACAGTACAGCTAATACTGCAGGACGTTATCAGGCTTGTGTTCGTACTTATATCGGTTCTGGGCAACAGATGGCAGCACTACATTTGCAAGGGAGCGTGTGGCATCTTGTAAAATATTCAAAACGATATCAAGTTGCGTTTAGCTGTGCTCTTCCACAGAAATGTATTAACTGTGCAGAAGGTCTCTTATTGAACGTGGATCAGTGCACATTAACTGCAAGCACGCCACGGGCAATAAATGAGGAACAGAAAATAGAGCAGGAACGCGAGGCTATGGTGCCTGTAGTTTTGTTTTGGGAATTTGCAATAAACTCTGACTTTTTGGGGGGGAGGGTTGACAGATCACAGACAAAGTACAGACCAATGTGTATCCCTGTTTAAAGCACAGAACAATATTGGAACGTCCCTTCTGGTGATGATTTTGCGAACTACAATGAATTCCTGTCTTGAGAGGCGCATTGCAAACCGCAGCATCACAGCCCTAAGCAATCGCGACCTCCCGTGGCCAAGCCTGGTATGACAGCTGCCTCTGAAGGCCGGAAGGAACGTCATCAGGTGCTCTGCTGACCTGAAACTGATGGCCTAAAGTTTTGGCCCAGCAATGTAATTGTAGTTTTAATGTTGTCTACAAATACTGGTGCTGTCGAAGGCAATATTGAAAAGGATGAACGCTACGTAAATATATTCTCGGGGAAAACAAAGGCTTTCGCTAGTGTCTTTTTACAAGCACCATTGATATTGGACCCATTTGAGCCAGTTTAGTTTTGGGGGATCCGACCAAGCCTTCCCCTCAAGGAAGCCAGGGTTTCAACACCATGGCTGAGTGGCTTACTCCCACAGCCCTCCCTGTGAAGTATTACCACCTATTCTCCGCGGTTAGCATAATGTGCATCATTTATCCGTCATGCACTGGGTTGGTTCCCTGCATTAACCTAAATTGAAATCAATTTCCAACGGGCCCCTTTCCAACAGTTGTTTCCACCTTCTCCGTGCTGTACAGTGGAAGAGGTTTCCCCAAGAGCAGCTCAAAAGCGCTGACGCGTGTTCTCTTCTTCTTCCAGAAACAAATATGAAAAAGAGCACGCTGTGGTCCGTCCTTCCTTTTCTGAATAGTGCGCTTTCCACATTCTCTTGGGACACAACTGAGAAAGAGCGTCCAAGATATATTTTTATGATGATGATGATGGAAGGGAGCCACTACTGACATACCGAAAGGATAGAAACGTTCATGTGTTGACTTTCACCGGACCCCAACGAGCGCCTACTGTATCACCTTGGTTACCAGCTCAGTTCGCACTGCGACAGGGGGTAACAAGTTAACAAGCTGGGGAGGGGAGGGGGGATACATTCACCAGCCGGCCCAAAGACAGAAACATTCCGCCGGTCGACAAAACGACAAGTGGGAAAACGCCAACAAAAAAAAAAAAGAAGAAAAAAAGACAACGCCGGCACGGTTCACACAGGACGGGCCCGCAGCGCCGAAGGCTGGAGCCCGGCTCTGGCGCGCGGCTTCTGATTGGCTTCTGCCAGTTCCTGGATCTCGCTGGCGGAGCGCGAGCGCCGCAGCACAAGAATCTCCGAGCACAAGCTGGGCAAGTTCGGGCGAGCAGAGAGGTAGGTGCTCTTTCTTACGCCTGGAGGGATCTGATTTTTTTGTTTTTTTTTAAAAAAAAGCAATCCGTATGCACACGTTAGAGAGCCGTAAACGCACCCGCGCGATCGCAGCGAAGTTTTCAAGTCACTGAAAGTTGCGGACACAGGGTGGAAATTAGGTCAGAAGAGGTAAGGTCCTTTTCAAGTGGAACAGGGCGCTTATTGTGTGTCGCAGGATGAAACTTTTTTTTCTCCTCCTCCTCCCCAAGCACTGGGATGTTTGCAGGCGCAGTTTACCACCCCCGTGTGAATGCAAGTCTGTGCTGGTGAACATCAATTGGGTCGGGAGAACGTGGGACTTGCGGTGCAAACATTTCTGCTCTTTCTCCGGTTTTGATGGTACGCTAACACCCGACTTGAATTTCTTCGAGTAAACCTCGGGGCACGGCCAGTTGTCACAAAACCGAAGTTGGGGGCGGCGGTGAGAGGAGTCGGCGTGTGTGAATGATTGTCAGGAGCGTGTTATACAAAGTGTTCCGTTTTAATTGTTACAACGGGGACCGGATCGTTTGAACGGTGCGGGTTTAAAGGAAAGCTGGCGCTGAAAGTGATTTCCGTGAAGATCACTGTACAGAGTTACAACCCTGCAGCTGCGTTGGGCTCCGTGTAATTGAAAAGGGTCACAAAGGTGGGGGTTTGCCGTAGACCAACTTTTCCGGTGCTTACAAAAAAAAATGTATTTTATTTTCTTAACCAAGCATTGTTTAACGCGCTTGTTTTTCCTCGGTTTAGCCCCAACTAAAGAAACGAATGGCTTTGCCGTGACACTTCCTCCCCCAGCTTATTTGACTTCTGCTTTTGTTTTTTTGGCTCCGTTTTTTTTTTTTTTTTGGCTGGCGTTCTTGAAGGAGCGGCGAGCAATGGTTTCTGCTGTTCTCGATGTTTCGGCATTTTTAAAATAGGACACACGCCGCTAACCCAGCAGGCATCCGGGAACCGATCAAACGGTTTCGTCGTGATGGTCTGGAAGTGGGACATATTTAAGGGAAAGGCTCGGTTGATCTCGGAGGAAGCGGTGACTCAATGGTGACGGTGGTCGTACTGAACAATGCTTTTAGTCTCGGGGTTATTTAATAGATGTGTAGTACCAGGGGGGTCATTTGGCTTTTAGGAGACGGAGCAAACCCTACAGGACTGGGGCAGTCCTGTGTTTAGAAAAGTGCAGTAAGGAAGGCACAGGAGAATGAGGCGTCACTCATCTGGCCTGACTCCTTTCTGGAGATTCACCCTGTCTTCGTGTTGGGTGACGATTGGCGTTTCCTTTTGCAAAGACTGAGACTCGCCTGCTCCGAGGCAGAAACGTGTTCCTTACGTTGCCCCTACCTTCGGTGGAAAAACGAACCCGGAAATCTTTATTAAATAACCCCGTGCATCTCGGTTGGGACTTTGGTCTCCATTTGTCTGCCAGTCCTGTGCCGATTGGTTGATTTGGAAACGAATGTCTTGCCGAGCACAAGCATTTGTCTTTGTACAGTCATTCTGCAAGTGACGAAAAGTTATTCGACTTTGGTTTGAAGTCGAAACGACCGGTGCACGCATTGCTGTAGGTTGCTGAGTCTTACCGTCGACCACTTCCTTTTCTTTAACGGGGTGTTTGGCGGGGTAGGTGGGGCTTCTTTTAAACTGGGTCATGATGACTGAAAAGGGCTTTTGGGAGACTGTATTTTTACACCAACACTGAGGGCTTTCCTGCAGGTCTAGCTGTTCATCGGGGGCAGCAGCAGACGCTGTTGTATTTGTATTGTTGAAGTCTTTCGCTTGCCCGTGAAGTGATTTGCAGTTTGATTTCCAGGGCATGTTCCGAAGACGTAGTGACTCTGACCTTCCGTTGTGTAAAAAAAAAAAGGGCGAAATCTCAAGCAGTTTAAAAATGACTCCTGGAGATC